ACTTAATATTCTTATACTTATGAATGTCATTTTTAGAGCAAAAAGAAAAAAATATATATTTTAGATCCAGTTCTTGTGACAAAAATATTAAGCTGATTCGACCACATGAAATATAATTTTTTTTTGGAATTCATCAAAAAGTCATCAGAGCAGAATGAATAAAAGAACGGAAAAAATGTAATTTTTTAATTATCTCGTATGTTTTTGCAAAGAAAAATAAGAATCTGATGCCAAAAGAAGCCACTCATACAGACATACGTGTGCTGTTTTATTCTGGAAAACTGGCAAAGCAAAGTTGTGATTTCAATCAGAAACAATGTGCAAAATATTTACTTTTTGGAGTTTGAGTTAAAGAGGGGTTGGTGCTTGAGGTTGTGAATTGGATGATATGGAAGTGTGGTGTTGGAACTAAGTTGCTTAGTAAGCTTTCAAACTTTTGCAGCCAAAAAAAAGAATTATCCTTAAAAAATGCAAAAAATGGTCTCAAATGTATAAATAAGAAAACTTTATGAATTTCAAGAACTCGAATCTTCAGACTTCGGAATTTCTCAATTTTTATCCAAACTTATTAAACTTTCGATATTTTCTACTTGATTTAATGTAAATATATTGTTTAATAATCAAAAACTAGTCAACAAACTCCAAAACAATATCAAATCAGAGCCTCAACCCCCTTCTCACTTATCATCCATCAAGCATTGACTACACAAATGATTTTTATCATTTTTGTCACTCCGATGACTTCTCTCAATGTTTGATCATTGTGACAAACGTATTTAATTATGCCATACAGCAATAAAATTCCGTCTTTTCTTTATATAGATATTTAATACTTCCTTTAAAATAAAAAGTCAAGTCAAATTCTCGTCCCAAAAAATTAATAAATAAAAATGCACACGGAGAAGTACATGACAAAGAGGGAATACTTTAAATACCTCGATATTCTCGATTGAGTGAAAAATTTTAACGAAAAATAAAATAAAAATTCTCGACAGACGAGAATTGATTGTTAATTTTTGTTCATGTTTCATTCTATTTCTCATTTCTTGTGCTAATTGAAATTCGGTAGGAGGAAAAATTGATGGAAAAAAATTATAACTTTTGGTGCTGCGCTGTTCAACTCAAGAGATTTTAATGTGAAGATATTTCTGGATGACGATATTTATTTAATTTGAGATTATAACCCATTAGATCGGGCTGTCCATCAACTAAAAACCTCTTCATAAGAATGACTTTTAATCCCGACTTCATCATCATCTTATTGCGGGACCAAAAAAAAATTTTGTATATAAAATTAAAGACTCTTTTTTTTCAACCCAAACATCCACAAAAAAGTATCCACACGTAAGAAAATTGTATGGATGGATATATTAAGGAACAATCAGAAACGACCATGAAATTCTTTAATATTTCTTCAGTATAAAAAAAATGTCTAAGAGTCAATAATAATAATATTATTTTTTGTAAAGTCATCTCAAATCATATTTATTCTTTAAAAAAAAACTTCTTATTTTTTATATATATATATTCTGTTGCTATATATCCCCCGAAAATGAGAATCCAGAATCGTAGCTGGAAAAAATTATAGGTACACAATAATGTAATTCTCATTCAATTTCGCTTGATGATGGTTGATGATGTGGCAATGATTGTTTGAGCGAGATTTTAATCACAATAATGGTGTTTATTGTTCGAAATGGTAGACTGGATGCTGGATGAGACAATAATATTGTAGATTGAAGTTTTGGAATTGTTAATGTTTATTGCATGGAAAGGTGTCGATACGTGTTGAATTTACGTATAAGTTGCATCATCAAATGAGAGATTGACTAATTTACAATAAAAATATATTGGAGGGGTATGAAGCTATGAATATTTTAGAAAAAAGGGTCTTAAACTATGAAGATTTTTACTATAACGGTATAAAACTAAGTAATTCTAATGAATCATTAAAATTGAATAAAAATTTTCATTCGGGTCAATTCAGGGGCGTCAAAAAAGGAGTACTTAATAATAAATGAAATCAAATGGGACCCTTAACTATGAACTCTCTTAAAAAATGTATGTTATGGTGTAAATTTTCATAAAAGAGTGTGGAGTCTGATTTTTTATATTAATCGGGGTTCAAAACTATGAAATCTAACTTGCAAAGGGTGTGAAGCTATGAATTTTTGAAGAAAAAAATAACTTATTTTATTTCTTTATATAAATTCTTAATAAATGCGCTTCATTTACCCAAGAAATAACAAATCTCAAGATTAGAACTTAAGTCTGGACATGAAGCAACAAAAAAAAAGTCTTACAGATTACTTAACCGATCGAAAGCTCGTCACTCAGCAACGAGTAAAACTCGACAATGCGGCTCATTTACTTTAAAATTCAACAATTTTTTTTGTTGTACAAATTTATTTTTTTCTCAAATCATTCCTCCTTCAAAACTCGTCAAAGAATTCTTACAAAAAAAAATAATATCTTTTTATTCCTCTTCAATGTGTTCAATGTTAATGTTATATTTTTCTTATTTAAGAATATCCAATATTAAAAAACATGTAAAAGAGATTTACAGAGAAACAAAAAAAAGTATCTTTTAAGAAAAGAAACCAAAATTAAAAATGATGATATTGAAAACAGTTTTTAAAGAAGGCTGGCTGAGGCAAATGAACAAACATTTGAATGCTACATTCAAAAAAAAATAACACACGAGATCACATCATCATTATTATACATGGATATATGTACATATATATCGTTTTTTGGGAAGAGATTTGAATAAAAAAAAGTGTGTACCCGAATATGAATATTTTGTGTATATTTTTCCTTATTCCATTCCTCATATTTTGTGGTAATATTTCTCTTATTTTCGTAATTACTAGCATTTTTTTCAACCCACTCAAAACTTATTCATTTTTTTTTTCTTTCAAAAATTGAGTTTTTAATTTGATGTTAGTGGGGTTATTGAAGGTAATTATGATTGAAATCACTTTATGAAGAGAATTGAGAGTAAAACTGGATATTAATTTATATATTTTGTTTACTCGAGTAATATTTAAGATAATTATAGGAGAGAATATTGGGTGATAGTTGCAATAAATAGATAGATGAGTGCCTTAATAGCCAATAAGTAATTTAAAGTTAAATTGTAAGCGGTTTTGTGAATTGAAATTTGTTGAGCTATTTTTGACGAGTGAGTAATATGCTTTGGCGCGTAATGGTAAAGTCAAACTATAAGGCAATCGTTGGATGTCGATCTATAAGTAAGCTAGTCTGCTAGAGCAAGAATAAAACTTTATTGGATGATTGATTATGCTTAATCCTGCATATTTTTTATATCCCTCTTTAAATTGAAGATAAAAGTTCGAATCCTAATGCAAATAGACTTTACAATCGGTCATAATTATTGCTAAGTTTGGTTAAGTTCTCATGACAAAGATTTGGCCAATTCCGTAAAGCTAGTAACTTCGCCTACACATTTTGACATCCCAGATTTCATCCACTCAAAAATCACATTCGGGCCAAGAATTTAGATGATTTGTTGACTTTTCAAATCTTATTTCCGACTTTATTGACTTTTCACAACGATTTAAAGGGCAATTGATTACCAGACACTTCCAACCTATCCCTTAGCATCCCTACATCAAAACAAAAATTAACTTATGAATGTCAATCTCCATAAAAATTAATCAAATCTGAATTTATCATTTGCGATTATATTGGAAAGTCCATAAGTGATCAGTCACCATTAATAATTAAAAATTCAGCCATTTCGCCAAAAAAAAAACATATCATTTAATCATTTAAAAATGATCACAAAAATTTTTTTGATTAATCTTAGAGTCACTGACATCAAAACCGGACTTTCAGTTTACAGTAATTACAAAAATTTCACAATCTCAGATACGACAAAAATATTTCATTAGATTGCTGGAGAAATTCATCGGAATTTCCTGTAAACTTATTTTTTTCACTATTTAAAATTAAAAATATGAGGAAAGGAATGACATGAAAAGATAAATGAAATCAATCAGATCAAGAATTAAAATATTTTTTTTTTATATTTTATTTCATCTCCTATTCGTCAATGTGCCTACAAATCTCTCGACATATTCATCTTCTTATTTACATTTTTATTTTCCTCATCTCTACTTAAAAGATGAATGGCTCTTTTTGAAAAAAAAAATCTATTTCATGTAATATTTTTGGAGAAGAAAATAAAAACGAATGAAGTAAAGAAGGAGAAAAAAATTTGAGCCTTTGCCTCAATGATATGTCAAAAAATTATGATTATACTATTTTCTTGTCTATTTTGGGAATTTATTTGATGGATTGAGCGAGTTGGTGTTCATAATTTGTCTAGATGACCTGACTCTTGATCATTCTGATCAGTTCCGTACTCTATTATATTACGGAAGAATATGAATAGGTTTATTAAAGACAATATGGCAAGGATTTGAACACTTTCCATTACAATTTATTAAAGCATGATAAGATCTTTGGTGGGAATTGAACCCGCGTCCTTAACTTTTTTTTGACGCATCTTCTTCCCACTGAGCTGTGAAGGGTTGCTTAATAGCTTGACAGAATGTGAATTAAAACTCTTTTCATTTATGGACTAGATCTAAATCGAAACTGCGCTTCAACTCATCATCAAAATAATTCCCAACTTACGCACATCTGTATTACAAATACACACAATATTAAGGCACCAAAAATGAAAGAAATAATAAAAAAATCAAGTCAAAAAAAGTAAAATAACAAAGAAATTCCACCAAAAAAAATTATTTTCTGGTCAGTTCTTTATTTTGTTCGTACATACAAAAGGCATTTTGAGAATGGAACACGAGAGAAAGAGATGTGATGTGATGGAGAGCAATTCATCCATAGTTATTAAAGAGTTCAAATTAATCATTTTTCTTTCGTTTTAATTTCGTCTTTTTCCATTGAAATAATTTTTTTATTTTATTTTATTTTTCTTTCTTTTGTACACAAAAATAAAATTTCAGAGTGAAGCTGAATCATTTTTATATACCTAAATTTCTGTTGAATAAAGACCGAAATAATATAAAAAAAATAAGAACACGAGTGTAAGGAGTAATAAGAAGCAAGTAACGATGGAAATAACGCAAGTCGCCAATACAACATCATTCGATCACCAGCAGCAACAAGTGGCAAAGAATAAACGAAAAAAATTCAATCCAAAATTCATGCTTACAAACAGTAGTAGTGATGATGAAGGTGATGGTAGCATGGAGAAAGATGATGATGATGATTTATATCAAAATGAAATTAAAAATTCAATTGAAAGTAATCAGAGTTCGGATGAGAATAATGTTGGAAAGATTGCGAAAAATCATGAGATCATTAATGAGTTGGCAAATGCTAGCAACAAGACAAGTCAGAATAATAATAATAATGATTCACCACCACCGTCATCAGCACTCAATTCAAATTTATTCAATAACCCATTTTTATCGCCATCAAAATTTTCATTACTCCAAAAATTTGGTAATTTACAGCAACAACAGCAGTTGCTACAACAAGCAGCAATTTCGGCAATTGCACCACAACTTAGTCAGGCAATGAATCTTAGTGAAACAGAAGCAAAGTTTAGAGAATTTGCTTTTAAAACAATGCAAGAATTACTCAATATTTATGGATTATCGCTTTCAACAAACGACATTGTCGATGTCTTAAAACAACAGCATGCGGGTAAGTGTCTGATACATTTTATATCTTTTAAAAATATTTATGGTGATGCTCTGTTATTGCTTTCATACGAATATAAACGCTAAGTGACTTTGATTCTATTGCATAAGATTCATAAGAATGAACAAAGAATTTTTTCAAGTCGTGGGGCCGTCTATCAGCAAGAAATTGTGTACTTATGAGTTGTCAGTCAAACCAACAGAATTGCCTACACATTACCTGTTTCCCCCAATCCTTCCACTATGTTCAGACTCCCCTTTGAATGTCACAACAGATTGACCCCAAAAAATTATGAAATAAGCATCAAGTTGCTCTACTTTATTACTCTTTATGGACGATGTAGACGACGATACACACGAGCATAAAAAGAATGCCTGAAATTTGATATTTTAATTCCCAATTTATGTATTATATTTTTCTGTGTTTTCTGTCGTCTCTAACCGAAGTATTGCAGAATATCGATTGAGAATTTCAGGGTCAAATTCATCCTTTTAAATTCCCAAAAAAAAATTGCGACGATGATGAGTTACTGATACCTAATAATACAAATACGAGCAAAATAAGGAATAAAAAAACTCCTTTTCACACAATTTATGTGATATTCCCTTAAATAAGTATTTAAGAAAATCGAGGTCGCAAGAGGGTATGAAATATAATGGGGCGATGAAGACCATAAAGAAATATTCTTCAAAGTGCATTGAGTAAGAAAAAAAATAAGGGAATAAAGAGAAAAAAAAGTTGCATCTGATGAGGTTAGAGATGATTAAGGTTAAATGAAAACGATGCACCTTTTAGCATCTCATCATCGTATAATTTACCAAAAAATATTAACAAAATTTTCTACCCTTAAAAAAAGTAGTTGCACAGACATTCAGTCAACGACGATCGTTTACCTGCAAGGAAGATTGTCAAGGTTCAAGTTATTTATTTTATGTGTCGTCTTAAAGCAATCTGTATTTATTTAGAAGGTCGTCAGATTAACGCAATATTTGTTTTCCATTTTTTTTTATAGTCTGCGAAAAATTGCCATTGAACCATGAACAGCACACAAAAAAATCCATGAGAAATTTCGGTTGAAGGGGTTAATGCAGTCATGTAATATTTTTTAACGACTTTTTTTTCGCTATCGACTGTTTCGATAGAACGGACCAATTATTAATCAACAAGTTCCAATTTCTGTGCCTTTCACTCTCGAATAATCAATCAATTTTAGAAGTTCATTTTCTGATAAATTCATCAATCAAATTCATGTAGCCGGGAACTTGCTGTAATAAATGGATTTTTTATTCTGGCATTGAATTATTTTTTTGTTCTTCCTTTCCACGACAGATTTTCTGTGTATGCTGTAACCCTATGCTTTCTTTTTTTTAGGCTTAAATTTCTCTCCTCGAAATATTCTTCAAGACAATCTGCTGTGCGATGCTCAATATGTGTTTCCATTATAACCCCTTACAATTACAAAACATTTTTTTTATTATTTATTTTTCGTCGAAACGGAAAGTAATAGACATTTAAGTACATTAAACTTCTTCAAAAAAAAATCTCAATTTTATTTCCCACGGATGCAGACTTTCGATATTTTATATTCTTTATGTTTTTCTTTCATTCATCTTATGTCTCAAAAATATATTTTTTTTGGGATCATAAAGCAGACGACGATTTTTTTTTAATCACTAGAAAAGAATTTATATTGAGAGAAAGTTCTGTGCTAATGGTTTTTCACTGTAAGTAATTTGATAAATGAAGATTGGAAAAACTCACTTGAAAATTATTATTGATCGTATAAAATTTCCATCTCAATTGAGAATTTCTTGTGAGTTGTGAGAAAAAGTTTTATGGGATTTAATTTAACGAATTTTTTTAAACTTTCTGGAGTGGTCATAATTTTTATTTGGTGTGTATATTTTGATAAGGAGGTTCTGTAATGTTACCATAGTGTTGTGCTATGATCTGAGTATAAATTATGAACTGATGTGGGTTAATGGCGCAATGGTCAAGTGCTTTGATGTTTCTCCTGACTCAGCGGTCTTGGGTTCGAGACCCAGTTAAGGCAACTATTTCCTTTTTTAATCAAATATATCTAAAATGTATCCTTATCCCACTCCGAATGTGTAGATATTTGAGTACATCCAATAAAATAACTCCAGAACCCAGAATTACATATTTCTGAATCGCCAAAAATCCCACTAACCTCAAATAAAATCTCAACTTTAAAAATCAAATCAACTTCCTTCCAATCAGTAGCCAAAACCGTCACAAAAACTCTCCACAAAACCTGATGGTGACCTGTAAAAAAATCAGAAGTCTATTCAATATAACCACTGAAAAGAATGCCTGATGAAAATTAATGAATCTTTAATGAATTTCGATTCTGCTGTTTTTCAATTAAAATTTCTAAAGTTGTTGATCTTTCCTCATAATGGTTTAGAGCTGCCAGCAAAATTCAAGTAGTTCTGAAATTTATTTTTTTAGAGTAGAATTAATCGATAGTGAACAAGTAAATGACCCTTATGTATCGTGGTAATTAAATTCATAGTAGCACTGATTATTTTGTGATGGGTGTTGGATGTTTAAGATTGAGGAAATGTCTTTAATTGTAAACAGTTATTAAGATTGTTGTTATGTAGATGTAGAGTTTGAGATATGATCTGATGGGTTGTAATTGATATGGTTCTATTTTGTTGCTGTGTTTCTGTGGATTAAATGCTAATAAGTTTTTTTTTAAAACATCCAGACTATTCTAAGAAGTCATCCACAAATTAAGTCTAACATTTGAAGCTTATTTAAGTTTTTTTGAGAACGTAGAATCTAAAATCACATATTTTAAATGACATTAACAGTGATTGACCCTCCAAAAACCTTTAATAATTTCCATTCTTCGATAGTTTCCTTAAAAACAGTAGATATCCACAAAAATGAATCCACTCGCTCATTTATTACAACTGTCAATCTCATCCAGTCAATCGACTATTCAAATTTATTTAAAAATCACTTAAATATTCTAACAATCTCCAGAAAATCAGTTCTTGCTTTAAAATTCGTGTGACAATTTTAACAGCCTTCGATCTTTCCCAATACTTAACGCATCACATTGAATATGACACCAAAAAACTCGAGCTGTCAAAATCAGATAAAAATCATCAAATTATTCTTCAATCCTTTCTTCTATTACATGACACGCATTTAAATTCTTTATGCTGTAACTTCCTTTCTCTATGAAAATATTTTCATTCATCAGATGTTATCCTGCGCAACTGCAAACTGGCGCGAATCAAAACACACAATTTTTTTTTCTTATTTATGAAAAGGTGAAAAGGAAAGGAACGAGAAAGAGTTGAATGGGAAAGATGGAAAGGAAACCGGTAAGGAATAAGTTTTGTCATTCGAGACAAAACAATTCAATTTTTTTTGTGTGTATTTCCTGAAAGAAGTAACAAAAAATCATTAAAAAATTGAGTAATATTTTTTTAAAACCCTTTTGTACCCAAAAGTTTACATTTTGTTACTTGATATCCATTTATTTCAATTTTATTTTCATTCCGGCTGGCACCAAAATCATTAATAATATTTTTTTATGTAGGATCTTTAAAAAAAACTTTATGCCTGGAATTTTTCAACCCCATTTTCTCATGCACAATTTTTTAAAGAGCTCTGCTGGAAGACACACAAAAAAAATATCTGCACACCAGTTGCATTCTTAAGCATTCTTTTTTATTTCCTCATAGATCAAATTCATTAATAAATCATGAATGCAGTTGCTGCACATTTTCAACAAATTCAACTTAAAAAATGTAAATTTATTCCATCTGAATATTATTTTTTTTATTTGTTGACTTGAATAATATTGCTAAATGGAATTAAATGAAGATCTCTATCTTATAATGTTGTGACAATTAGGTTTCAAATAATTTATTTATTTCTCTTCCCTTCCTCAATTTTTTTCGCACTTACTTTACTGGTCAATATTTTTAAGGGCAAAAATAAATTTTGTGTGAATAATAATGGAATTAAATAATGGATATGGGAGAGAGAGAAAAGAATCTTGAACATCCTGTTTAAATTTCAATGAAGAAGTCAATTCATGAGGATGAATTTCTTAAAGACCATTCTAAGTTATTGTTTATTTTATTTTGTAACAAAAACGATATTTAGTCAACAATAGAGAAATATTTATTATTTAAATTTTGGAAGGGAATTTTTGGGAACTTTTTAATGCCACTTAATATTATTTAATGTGCTTACTCGTACGTGTATTTTGCAGTTTATGGAATTGATATATTTGGTGTCAAATTAGGGACTTCTGGACTTATTTGCAATCATCACTTTGAGGATTTTATAAGCCGGGAGGGTCTGAAACAGTTGGATTTATACCTTGTAGGACTCGAACCCACAGGATTGCGTATTTTGGTTACAGGCTACCATTTTTGAGCTATCTATTGATTTTTTCAGCATTTGGCTGAGTTGCTTATATCGAATTACATTCGTAGGAATTAAACTTAGACTTATAATGTAGAAAATCATCATCCTAACCTCAGCGCCACTGTTAAAATTCCATTGCTTCAATAAAAATGACAGTTCACATTCATAAATTCCTTAAATTCTAAGAATTACCATCACACTAGTCATCATAAAATAAGAAACATTCCTATCACGCGTAATTGTTAAATAAACATCTAAAAGTCTCAATAACCCAAATGCTGATGTGAGAATTCGTCATTGTCGCCACTTAAAATAATAAACAGGATACCAAAAGTATTTAATATTTTCATTTATTAAGCAAAATAAGCATTCAATAATTCTAAGAACATAAATTTAATATGGAACTCAGCAATGAGATAAAGTTTATGTCAAGAGATTATTTTATCTCATATTTATGTCAAAATATTTTTCTAAAGAAATTCAAGCGAGTAATTTGTGGGCAATTTATTTACAATGTCCATCAATATACATATAGTCATGTGTATTAAGTAGAGTCACTTTAAAGTAAACAATCGTTCTGCTCTACTTTCACATAAATAAGCCATAAAAGTTTTATTATTGCCGTAAAAATGAGAAATTCTTAGGAATGAAGTACAGAAGAGAATAAATTATGTAATGAATTTGAAGAATTAGTCAAACTTGTTATTCACTTTGTGATTTAAATGAATGTTTCGAAAGTTTTTGATGTTCATTGATTTAGAAACGCATTTTTGATCTTTTTGAAAACTTCTGAAATCGAAATAAATTTCAAGAAAATTTTAATGGCCTTTTAAAATTTAAAATAGTTTAAAATAATTTTTTTTTTCATATTTAAGTTTTAATTTCAATTTTAATCTTAACTAAGCTACTCTAAAGCAAAAGAACTAGACAAAATGAACAAAAAAAATGGCAACAACATGTTTCAACATATCCGAGCTATTTATATTGTCCAAACACAACATTCCACACCGAAAAATATTCATCCAGCTAATCAACCAAAGCTAACTGTCCGTAAACACTCATTATCACAATAAAATGAGCCAAAAATCCATTTGAAAAGAACGAAAATCGTTTAAAATAAAAGAATTAATCACAATTGTGAATAGACGTCAGATATTTTGTTGTTCCTTTGTAAGTCAAATGATCTTGAAACTCCACAATGATTCAGATTTGAAAAAAATGTTCAAATAATCCTTGTGCATAATATTTTTCAGACACATTGAAGTAATGAAATTTTTTATTGATATTCTCTAGTTTAGGACTTTTAATGCCTTTAATCTTACTTGATTATTGATTCCTGAAAATATTAAGTCATGAAATTAAGGATAAATAAGTTTTTTTTTACAAATTTCACAAATGTTTATCAAAAAATTTGGCGCACGATTGTAATTTGTATGAAAAATTAACTAATTTTCAATCGCAATTATCTCGCTTCGGGCATATTTGGGCATGTACACATTAATTACCTTCCATTAATTAGACTTTGCTCTTTATATTTTAATAGGTTTGGTAGAAGCGGAGAGACGCGAATTTAACTTATGAGTGTTTAAAGTCTTGGTAAATTTCAAAAAAATTAATCATGTATATTCGCCCAATTAATAGGTTTTCCTTTGGTTTCTTCACACAAACACAAAGTACTAAGCTTAATTAAGCTAGTTATCAGGATTAAAACAAGAAATTTGAAGTAGAAAGGAGAAAAAATTTAAGAAAAATATTTGTTGTCATTTTGTAAACAAATTTATTGGCATCTTAAAATTGAATTTTTGTGAATTAGACAACATATTGGAATGTGATATTTTTACAGAACATAAAACACATCATGTTCTTTAATCTGGCATTTAAAACATATAGTTTAATTAACTTGTTATTTTTGAATTTTTGAACATTTTTTTCAAATCTGAATCATTGTGAACTCCTGACAAACTTTTTTTCATACATCCACAAATTGGATTTTTTTTTTCATGTGTCTATGCTCCATTCAATCAAGAAAATATTTTTCTTGTAAATTATTCTTAACGTTTTTTAATTTAATGTTTTCGTCGTTCATCACATTATTCTTTCCATCCATTCAAAGTAAATTACAGTTCTTGATCTTTTCATTAGCTCTTAAATCAGATTGTAATATGACTATAAAATTATAATAGAAAAAAAATTACTGCTGAATCCTCATCTTTTCTCACAATCTCTCTTACTCTCGTGCTTTTATTCCATACATTTATTAATGTACAGCGCAGTATAATTTAGTTGAAATAACAATTTTAAATTGAATGGAATCGGGTGATGGAAATAGTTAAAGAGAAAAAAATGTAGATAGTTTTTTTTTTTTCGATGTAAATTGATGATAATTTTCAAATTGAAATAGATTTGCTGACAAGGCAGAAGAGGAAAATATTTGCAGCCATAAAAATTATTGAGGATGATCGATTGATGATTATTAATTGATTATTTTTAATGATTTTTTTTCAAAAATTATTACATCGATTGGGGTTTGTTCTTAAATGACGTCTAGTCTTGATCCCAGAATTTAAAATTCATATTTAAACTAAGTTCGACTTCTGAAGTAACACATAATTTCTTCACAAACCGAAAATGCAAGACGTCACTACCAAACGCCCCCTAATGTCAAATACCAAGTTACATGGAATCAATCAAGATTCTCAAAATATAAAAATCATTGTAAAATTTACTTCCAAACAGTGGAAAATGTTCTTTTAACGAGAGACAACATTCATTTACTTAAGACGAGCCTCCTACTGTGCTGTAAAATTACCTTCGTCAGTGGCTGAATGAGGTCTTTACGAATGAAAATTTTGATTGCTTTAAATCTCATTTTAGAGATTTTTTTATGTTTTGCCGAAATATAAATTTTGATAGAATTGCCTATTGACCTTCTTCAGATTTTTCTAGGACATTAAAAAGTGTCGAATTTCAAAGCAGATCAATTTCTTGCCTTAATAATAATCACGCATAGAAAAATTAATTTGGTGTGAAAGCTTTTTATTAAATTATTGAATTTTTTTCATCATGATTGTTTTTGAGGGAAATTCTGATTAACTGGTTGAGGAACTAAAAGTTCCCACGAAATTTCAAGGGTCAATTGCCGATCTAATTCTTGAAGGTAACATGAGATTAAATTTTCTACGGTTGACATTTGATACTGAATCTCGATTGCGTAATCGATAAAGTTACCCATTTTAATTTTAATCTCATCATGTACGGAACTAAAGGGGTCATTCGTTTATGACGTCGATCACTTAAGAAAGGAAGACTCTAATAGCACAGAATAAAACATGACTGTCATAACATCTTAACCATCCCGAAAAAACTAAATTCAACCTCCAAAATTTCTTAGCTAGGCCAATAAACTCTCAAAAATTCTTCAAGATTTGCGACAACTTTTTAAAAAGGTCATACATAAATTTCTATATACTTAATAAGTCGAAGAAATATTTGAATTTTTTGATAATTCATCATTTTTTTAAATGGCGCAAGAATATTGCGTCTGACAGCTTCAAATTGAAAATGATGAGCATACATTGTAAGATGATGATGAGCATGTGAGAAATTTATGGAAGATTTTTTTGACAATTTTCTTTTGTGGATTTATGAATTGAAGAATTAACTTTGATACTAAGTTTGAATTAAGTTTGAACCAAGTTTGAACTTAATTTAAACTAATTTTGAACTTAGTTTAAACTTATATCAAACTTATATTAAACTTAGTTTAAACTTAGTTTGAACATATTTTAACCTTAGTTTGATAAAAATCAAGAATTCATTTAAAAAGTTCCCATAAAAAGGCTTTAATGAAGTAAATCAACTCTAATATCCGTGAAACATTACAAAAATATAGAGTATCATTAACAACAATTCTAATCGAATTTTCAGAACAAAAAACATGACAGGACAGAATAAAAAATTAAATTCAAACTGTAATTTGCTAATGACTTTCCAAAAAAAAAATCTTTTATCCCACAATTTTCAACACTTTCGATCCCTAATAAAAAATTGTTTTCGCAAAAAATCTCATTTTGCAAATCTTAATGATCAATTCAAAGTATTTTTTGGGTATCAAGAAGCTCAAAACTCAAACAAAAACTCCACAGGAACTTTTATTTCTATTTATCAATTTAATATGAAAATTATTACAAAAGATTGCAGAACATAAATGATAAAGATGCGTCAATTAGAATACGAAATACCTGTAAATATTTTCGCAATCTAAACAATAAATTATTCCTCTCTATTATGCTTTTTACTTCCTTTTAAAAAATGCAATAACTTTTTTTTGGTGAATAAAAACCAAAGGAAAGAAGAAATTAGATAAGGGTGATCAATTGGTAAAAAAATAAAAGTAAAAGAATGTGTGTGAAATATAAACAGCATTATAGAAAATTGAGAAAGCATTCTTAAAGGTACGAAATCTTTACGGAGCTAATAAAAAATAGCATTCGGGGATTTATAAAAAAAAATCTCAATCGTGTGTGTATGTCATGAAATGAGATAGAATTTAGGGGTGAAATTGAATATTGACATTTCAGGGCAACTATTAAGCCTTGAGCTGTATTTGTGAAAATAATATATAAAAAATCATTAAAAAAATAGGGTTGAATTATAAAAAAATTCTCAGGTCACTGCAGGGTCTACCAGAAAGAAATAATTCTTAGTCATTCTTTGAGATGCTGTTGAACTAGTCACATCGTCAATTAGAAATAAAAAGAAATTCAAAAAACAAAATCATAACAAGATGCAAAATTTCAATCTGGAATTATTTTCACGATTATTTTTCCTCAACTTAACAAATACAATAAAATTTGATGAAAATTTCTCTATCATTCCAGGTCAAGCATCACCATCAGCATCAACACAATCGACTTTGGAGCCTCCAACACCACCACGAACGCCCATTCAGACACAACAGAGAAATATTAATAATAATAATAATGATGATGCAAAGGAAAATTACGAGCATCAATCATCGTCACGTAATACACCCGTTAAATCTAGTGCCAAAACATTAAAGTGTGAAAATGAAAGTGACTTGGAAGATTACAATAAACGATCACATTACAATGATGATTCCAATAATTTTTCTGATGAGGATCAGCGCATTGGGGGTCGACAGAGTGCAGTTAGTTTATCGATGCATATGAATGGTGTTGTGGAGGATTCAGATCGTGAGGAAGAAAGTGATTATTCATCGTTCGATAGCTCAAAGTTGTCATTGAAGAATGTTGAAAGTTTGCTCGATAAATCGTCTCCAGTGGTGAGTTAAGCCTCATTTAGTGAATTTTTAAAATTTAACGGTTGTCAAAAACTTGAAGTTGCACTTCAAAAAGAAAAAATTCAAAATTTTTGAAAACCGTTTATATTCAAATTTTTATAACTCGTTAAAAAAGAATTGCAATTTTTACAACAAATTTTCTTCAATTCCACAGAACTTCTACAATCCAATGATGCAACTCTCAAACATGAACAACGAACAATCGGAAAAGCAGTTGATTGGTGAGTAATTTTTGATTTCTCGGCAATTATTGGCCATTTAGAAATAAATTTACATCTATAACATGAGTAATTTCCAAACAATGCGAGAACATTTCGCAATAACACAAGTGAATAATTTCCATAAAAAAAATTTGAATTGTTTTTCATTTAACAAGAGTGTGTGGCGAGTGAAGTGAAGCTGTTATATATTTTCTGTTTGTCATCCCATTTTTTTGATGACAATTTCAATTCATAAATATTTTTTTTGTTCACAAAAAAAATATGAGAACTCATCATGAGCACTAATAGACAGAGCACATAACGCAATCGTTCACAGAAAAAAAATGTGGTTTAGGTTAAATTGGGTTAAATTACTTCAAATAAAGAATTTTTGATGGATTCTGTGATGACGGAGAATATTTTTTCTCTCGGAAAAAATTAAATTAAACGTCAAGAATTTTTTTTTCTTCAATATACACATCGAAACAGCAGATTGCCATGGAATGGAGTCGCGATAAAAATTTTATGATCTCCCTTTCCCAAAAAAAACACATCCAGAACAGCGAGCGAGAAAAATAAAATAAAAATTGAGTTAAGATTTTTTCGAATAAAAAAGATTTCGTCAATTTTGCTCAATTGAAATTTATTAAATATGAAAAAATCTCAAGCTATGGTTTCATATTTTTTCCCCACAATTTATTTTTTATAGCGTGGCATGGCTTAGTTAAAATCTGGATGATTAATTTAATTTCTGTTTTCTTCTTATTCTCAATTGAAAATGAAAATTGTTTCTTAAGTGACGACAAATTGGGAAATGTTTTGAGTTATTGACGGAGTTAACTCATAACATTAATTTTATTAAGTTTTAACGGTTAAATAAAATTTAAATTATCTTGAAATCTTCAGTAATGTTTGATAAAGCTTACTTCAAGTTATTCTCCTAAGCCAATTTCTGATGTTATAAGCTCTTTAAACTATTAATTACTTTTCAAAATCCTGATTATGTTTCAAAAACTTGTTTAGTATCTCAAAAATGATTAAACCAATTCAAAACAGCAAAAACCAATATAACAAATTTTTTAAAAAAATATTCACAAAAAAAATCCTCTAATTTAAGATTCAAATCCCTAACAATGCCAAACGAAATTCCTCAATGGCAATCACACAAAATATCTGTAGAATGCATTTAAACTAATCTGTGTATTTATTTTTTTTTTTATTATTTAAATTTCCAATAACAGCTGAATATTCAAAATATCTAACAAAGTATCAATCATACGTTGATTGTCACAATGAGCAATGTCAAAATGAGAATCAACGTGAGCATTACCACTGCTATGACATTCAATGTTTAAATAAAATGCTGAATAAAAAGGAGGAGATTATAAGACATTTGAAATGGCACAAGAAGAGATCTGAATCACTAAGTCATGGTTTCTTGCGTTTTACATCGTCTGACGATTGCACAACACAATTTGGATATTGTCAGCATAATCGTAAGCAGACACATTATCATTGTATACAGAGTCGTTGTGATAAGACTTATATAAGCACAAGTGATGTACAAATGCATTCAAATTATCACAGAAAAGATTCTCAAATCTATCAGGAAGGATTCCATAGATATCGAGCAACAGAAAAGTGTATGGTGCAACATTGTATATTCTACGGCCAATGCACGACACATTTCCATTGTCGTCGTTGTAAATATACGTTCAAAAATAAAGCTGATATGGAAAAGCACAAGACATATCACATGAAGGATGAACAACTATATAAAGACGGCTTCAAGAAATTCTTAAAAACCGAACCATGTCGTGTCGATGGATGTCGATTTACAATGATCTGCAATCATATTCACTGTGTTCGTCCAAATTGCACATACGTACTTCATTCGAGTGGACAACTTTTGAGTCACAAGCGTAAACATGAAAGGATGGATGCCGAAATGGCATATCGTCGCTTCAAGATGGGACATACCGCAAAAGATCTTACAGAATCAGAATTAGCTGCCCTTCAATCATTTCATGGATTAGATTTGGCTCCAAAAGCTCCACCCCCACCAGCACTCAATCAATTTCCAGTTGCTGATCAAGCAACAACTGAAAAATTTAATAAATTGCTCAATAATGCAACCATGGAAAATTTGAATGTTTTATTAAGTCATACAGCTGTAAATCAACAAGCGAATGTCACACCAGAGTTATTAAGACAAATTCAAGAAAAGCAACAAATGAAGAAAAATCATAGACAACAGCCAAATGGACATGAGTCACCAACAAATCTTGATCAATGTGATCAGAATGGCATGCAAGCTGGTATGGAGAATGGAATGAGCGATGGAATTGAAGATGGAATTCCAAAATCTGTTATACAGAATGTGTCACAAAATGAAGAAATTAAGACACCAACAATTGAGGAAGTCGAGCAAATAATTAATCAATATTTCACAGATCAATGTACGCGACAACAACAGCTTTCAAATGAGCCACTTGACTTGAATGTTAAAACATCATCCAATAAATCACTATTGGAATGTTTCATGTCCAATAATGAATCACATTTACATTGCCTAATAACTGGTTGTGAGGCTGTTGTTCCACGCAATCTTAAAGACATTTCCGAGCATCTGAGAATGCATGAATTGAATCGTGGTGCTGATAGTATTATGCAAAACTCAAACTTACTTCAAATTACATCAATTGAAGGATTCTTCAACCGAAAACGCGGTCGTCCACCAAAGAATCGTGTGGTTGAAGTCTACAATAATGTAAGTAAATTTATTATTAAGTCGCAGATCAGGTTTTTGAATATTGGTCCTTTTAAATCTGAAATTCAACTTTAAAGTCTTTTGAACCTATCTGACTACTTACACAGCCTGCAATAACACAAATTTATTCATTTTCGGATCATAATAATTCATTTTAATTTATTTCTCTCCATTCAGACTCACCATCCACCTCAAGCAATCTTCACAAGCTTCAAACTCGAACGTAATGATCACAACAGCAAAGGACATTCATCAACATCATCGAATCAATCACAAACCACAAATCAAAATGCTCAAAATGTAAATCAAAAAATAAAACAAGAAAAACGAGAATCTTCATCGGAGGGAGATTATGTGTCAAAAATTGAGATAATTCAATCAAATGAAAAATGTTTGGATGCATCATGCGTATTCCAGAAACTTTTACATTATCATTGTAATTTCTCAAAGTATTGTCATTTTTCGACGAATCATCTGTCCCAAATGGATCATCATTTGAATGATTTTCATGCAAAGATGGAAATTTTGGAGAATTATGAATATTTTGATAGGAATTACGATTGTAGACTCGTTGGTTGTTGCTACAATAAGGTAAATTATCATATTTCTTTTTGTTATTCTCTTTCATTCAATTCCTTTTGTTACATTTTTTCAGATCTCATGTCATTACCACTGCATTCTCTGTAAATTTTCATTTTCAATGCCAATGGAGATGACCGAACACATCTGTGAAGAAAACATTGAAGAAAGTTATGAAAGTTTTGACATCAGTGAATCAGACTTAATCAAGGCACGACCACAGCCAATTCAGCCTTTGACTGCTCAGCGATTTTTAGAGCGAAACATCTCACCACGTCCTGAAAGAATTGATGAAAGATCCATGATTCAAAAGATCAATGAGAGCTTCTTCAATCATGAGCAAAAAGTTGCACTTAACAGTGATGTTGACTTGATTAAGACGACTAAGGTATCTAAAGCAGCTGAGACAACAAGCAGTAATGATGATAAGATATCAGGTAAGTCAAATAGATTTTAAATCTAGATTTTGAGGTTTCATAATTCGTAAATCCTCAAGACGTTAAGCCACCCAACTTATACCGATCTAATTAATATTAATCTATTCCGTCCAACAGTTGTTCGTGCAGCTGGTACTTGGATTCCACAAAACACAAACTCAGACTACGAATCTCCCTCAAAATCCTCCTCAATGTCATCACCGACTGATAATAAACATAATCAGTCATATAATGATGATGATTCAACATGTGATCGACCATTCTGTAAGTTGAAGCGCAAGAAACATGAACACTGTGATTTATGCAATCAAGGATTCACTGATGCCATGAAATTGAAAATCCATTACCTCAAACATCAACAAACGAAGCTTGGTGGAATGTTTGAAGACTCAGAAAGTGATAAAAATGATCAGCAATCATCTTCTAGTTCCCACATCAAGAAGGAAGAACCGGAACCACATGATTTAAGTAAAAATGCACTTCCAAATCAAAGCGTTCTTCAAAACTTAATGTTTCCACTTCCACATTCAAATGCTGCATCTGCAGCTGGTGTAATGGACAATTTGTCATTACAGAACCTCCAACTCGCAAATTTAGCACAGCTTTATCAGCAAAATTCCCTTTACTATCAAAGTTTATATCCATTTATTGGAAATCAATCTATTCCTGGTTTAGGGATGGAACAACAAATGCCATTAATGCAATTCCCATTTCCTGCTCTTGCCGGTGCTGGAGGGTTCGATTTCGGTCTTTCATTGCCAAATATGAAGTCATCCTTACTTGCACAAAAGCGAAAATTGGAGCAATTTGATGAAATGCAAAATCTTCAGAAGAAATCAAAAATTTCTGAACGTCCAAAAGAATATCAAAAGAAATCTTACAAGGACGATTCAGTTCCAACTGGATATTTGAAATTTAGATTTAATCAAGATTGTAATTTCCCAAATTGCGGCTACCGCAACCATCAATCGCATTTCCATTGCTGTCGTAAAGATTGTTTCTATTCATTCTGCGATAAGACTCGTTTCGTGCAACATACAGCACGTCATGAGCGTCTTGATAAACTGATGGGCGATGACTTTAAGCAGTTCCGTGCGAATATGCATTGCGGATATTCAAATTGTGCGTACAATAAGAATTTAGGTCCACACAATAAATCCTCACATTTTCATTGTCTCAAGTGCAATTACATTTGTTCGGACACAAACAAAGTCGTCGCACATCGGCGACAACACAGCAAGCAAGAGTACATAAATAAGGCGGGTTTCCGAAAATATTCCAATAATGAACACTGCAATATTCCCGATCCATGTAGTCCCGATGGCGAGTGCATGTATACTTTAAAACAAACTCATTACCATTGTCTCGAATGCTCAATGGCTGTCTTAAGTCGTAATCAATTATCATTTCATAATCATAGAATTCGTCCAGGTATGTCACTTGATGACTATGCTCCAAATGACATGTCAAATGATAATAATATATTGATATTAAACGATAACGGAAGTGATGAAAATTCCTCGTAAATTGTGTGCCATTTGACACAGAACGGCCATAAAGTGGGGTTGTTTATCAGTGATGTCTTTTTTGAAATTAAATTTTTTAGGTTATTAAATCCTTCAAGTTAAAGAATCAATTGATTAATTGAGTCCCCACCCCCTCCTCCCCCTTAAACTGAAGACGTCACTTGTGAACGACCCTTAAAAAACCATTTGATTATTTTTTTGTACAAAGCAGTAAGTGAACATAATAAAGTTAATTGCAATTCAGTAGCCATAAAATATTTTTTTTTTGTCTTAGTCCATAAGTGACAATTTTTCTTTTAATTTGCTGTAAATAATTTAAATGAAAAAATAAATCCATAATAAAGGGCAATTGGGTTGTTAGATCCAGTATAATAATAATTAAAAATGATGTTCGAATATAGTCAATTTTTTTGTGAAAAAATCAATAAAAAGTACTCAAATTTAAAAACTCATTTTTGAGAGATTAGATTAAAATGAAGAAAATAATAGAATAGAATTTTTAATCCAACCTTACTTATGTATAACAGAGATTCTCAAACTTATACGGAGTTGAAATGTTTGAGGGAATCTGAAAAACTTTAAAAAAAAACTTTTTCTATTTAAAATAGAAATGTAGAAAATTTATAGGAATTAAGATTGGAAAAAAAGCCAATAAAAAATTTCAAATTTGAATTATTTTGTGTTTTTAATTTTATTAATTAATTTCAATGATTTTCAGACTCCTCAAAGTGCTTCATCTTTCGATGGCATATGTGCCTGCAATTTATTCCAGAATTTCGCTCGTTCTGGATACAACCTAAGTCCCATAGACAATAAGTTTTCATTTTTTTCATTCATTTCATTCCCAATGTTCATAAAATCTAAAGGAAATGTGTAAGCTGGTTTCCAATTTTCCTTTTTTATATCCATTTCGACTTCTTTCACTAGTTTACTTTTGTCTTCATCTTTGTTTTGTTTGATTTCGTTATCTTCTGGTGTTGGGTTTCTGGAATAAGAATTAATCGTTTATATTTGCATTTAGCCAAGCTTTTAAGCAGCTGTGATTGTTTCATTATAATCGAATACGACTTAAAATCTCAGAAAGAATTGGGTTCAATTCCTAATCATAATCGTACCAAGTTCCAGCAAAAGTTGATCATTAGAACAATAATCGAACAAAAAATCTGTTCCTCGATTGTATTTAAGTCAAACATTAAAATTTCACAAGGAGGACATCCCAAAAACTACCTTTTAAACTTCAACAAACTTACCCATTGTAAGCAAAGTTAACCCAAAGTTTAGTCATCAACTTTGTCATCTTCTTGTCTTGTTCTGTTGGTATTGATGAAAAGAAATAATGAAAATCTTTCCTAATTGGAAACAAATATTGCAGCTCTTCTGCATGAACTGTTCCATAAAAGTTCTCAGTTCCACCTTTAAAAACTTCAGTAAAACTTGAAGCTCCTTTATGTGAAAGCAGATAGACATAAGTAGGAGCTGCATTTTTAATGGCAAATCGTTTCTTCAAATAGTCAACCATTGCGTGAAAGAACCAGGAATCAGACCACATATTTGTTAAGCCTTCCATATTTTGTGGTTGTAATACTTCCTCTACAGATTTTAATCGTCTGCCATTAAAGTAGAATTTCTCAATTTCTTTTGTGATGTTGGCTTGCTGATCCTTATAATAATGATTATAGTAAAGTGAAATAGGTAAAGCATCATTCCATTCATCTACAAGACTCTGTGCTAATGTCCTGTTATTAAAAATTGCACTGGTTTTGAGAAGTCCTTCTTCAGAAGTTATTCCAGTCATGAATGGAATATTATCGCCATGACGATTCTCTATAAAGCGAGGATTTTCAGTTATAAAAGCTGCTTCGCTAGCTTTTTCTACAACAGGTGGAAATGGAACCTTAAAATAGTCAAATTTACAACTGTAATTTTCTTTATGAGTTTATAAATATTAAATTACCATTGGATCAGTGTCCCATTCCCAGAATTGAGCAAATGAATCAGTAATAGTATAGCTATCAATTTTTCGCAAGCAACTAAGCATTTTTGCATAATCATTTCCATAATCTTTATGTGAACAGTTTAACATTCTTCCCAACTCTTGAGCTCTCTCCTCAGCAACTCCACTATGAGCAACAGCACCCCACGGTGCTAAATTAGTTCCAGATTGTGCTATTCCACGATGAAAGAGTCCTTTTGACATCTTTGATTGCATATGGTATGTTATAGATGCGCCTCCAGCACTTTCACCGAAAATTGTTACTAAGTTTGGATTCCCGCCAAATAATGCTTGAAGATGAATCAAAAAAATTAAGATAAGTTCCAGTTCTTAAAAGAAAATTTACTTACCAATATTCCTATTTACCCATCTTAAAGCTTCAACCTGATCTTTAAAACCAAAATTTCCAGGACAATTGTCGTCTCCAGTTGACAAGAATCCTAGCGGTCCTAGTCGATAATTTACACCAACAAATATTACATCATGATCAAGCAAGTAATCTGGTCCATAATAAACTTTAGTTCCTGATCCACACATCAAACCACCTCCATGAAAAAAGACCATAACTGGGATTGGATTTTTAATTTCTTCTGGAGTATAGACATTTAAGTATAGACAATCTTCATCTCCAACTATAGGAAAGTAACGTTGAAAAGGATCTCTTTGGACGCAAACAGGTCCATCTTTGTAAGCTTTTTTTAACTCTGGCCATGGTTTCTTTGGCTGAGGTGCCTGTAAATGAAGTTCTTTGTTACACAAACTTTATTCAATCCATAATAGAATATAGTTCTATTTATAGAGGAAAGCATGGCCTCGTTACGCCAAAATTTGAACTAGAACTCCACAAAATGAGAATTCTGATAACAAAAATCAAAACAGCACATTTGCTGTGCTCCAAATTTTAGAAGTCAAAATAAAGTCGATTAGCGCTGCCTTCTATATTATTATATATTTCACTTACTTTCCATCTTAATTCACCAATTGGTTTCTCAGCATAAGGAATTCCCATAAAAGCTCTCATACCTCGACCACTGTCTGATGTCAAATAACGCCCGAGAAGTCTACTGCCATTAGACAAGGTAATTTTTAATTTTTCAGATGTACGACATTCACAACACAGAATCAAATAGCTGCACAAAATCACTAAATTTTCTTTAATCATTCCTTACTATTATTACCAATTTTAATTCACGAAAAATAAACTGAAAAAATTCTTTTATTCAACTTCTACTTTTATACTTTCGGAAAATTAGAAACGGCGGGATCTTTATTAGTTTTGTTTCGGTTTAATGCCAACCGTGGACGAAAATAATTTTTTTATGAAAACCCGGCTATTACTGTTGTGAATTTTCCCGGGAAGTTGCTATAAAAAGTGGAAAGTTAAATATGGCTTTTTGATTGACTATAAGTTTCAAGTGTGATACTCGAGCTTATAAATTAACTTTATTGTCACAGATTATTTTAAGTGTATATTCCATTCTTAACATTAATTAACAATCTTTACAACTCTCCCTTCACATTAGCTTTGCTATTAGGATCAAGGAGATTTTCGTCATCAGCTGGATAGTGGGCACTTAGGTCAGTCCAGAAATTAGCTCTTTCAGGATATAAATCCTTCTCCAATGAGACTAGATTGTCATTATTTTCATCCATCTCGTTTCCAATTCGCAAATAGTCTAATGGGAACGAGGATGTTTCTTTCCAAATTTGACCTTCAACTTCTGTTGGAGTTGGATTTCTGTAATGGAAAATTTTGATTGATTTTATTAGAATAGCTCTGTATAATTAGAAGCAAAAAATAAAGAAACAAAGTCAAACAACAACTTACCCAAAATAAGCAAAATTAACCCAAAGCTTTGTCAAAATCTTGCTAATCCTCTTATCTTGTTCTGTCGGAATTGATGAGAAGAAGTAATGCAAATCCTTTCTAATTGGGAATAAATATTGCAACTCTTCAGCATGAGCAGTTCCATAATAATTTTCTGATCCAGCCTTGAAAATTTCAGTAAAACTTGAAGCTCCTTTGTGTGTAAAGAGGTAGACATACGTTTTATTTCTATTCTCGTTTGAAAATCTTAACTTTAAGTAATCAACCATTGCATGGAAGAACCAAGCATCTGTCCATAAATTTGTTAAGTTTTGATTATTATTGGACGTTAATCTTTGGTTATTGAAGTAGAATTCATCAATTTTCTTAGTGATTTCTTCCTGCTTCTGACTGTCATGATGATCATAGTATAGAGATGTGGATAAAGCTTTCTCCCAGTTTTTCAGCAATTCTTCTCTTAAGTCATCATTGTAGATAAAGGCACCAGTCTTCAAAGCACCTTCCTCAGATGTTACTCCAGTCATTAATGGGATGTTTAAGCCATGAGGATTCATCACAAATCGAGGATTTTCAGTTATAAAAGCTCCTTCATGTTCATGCTCAACGACTGGAGGGAATGGAACCTAAACAATTGAATTTATGTTTTAGTGATGCTTAAAAATCATGGAAACCAGCCACTTACCATTGGATCTGTATCCCATTTAAAGAAATCATAGAATGCCTTTGTTATGTCTTCTGCAGAGACATCTCTAAGGCATTCAATCATTTTTCCATAATCTTGTCCATCAAAAGTGCATCCCATCATTTTACCCAATTCTTGAGCTCTTTCCTCGGCTACTCCTTTATGAGCAACAGCACCCCACGGGGCTAAATTAGTCCCAGACTGTGCAATTCCACGATGGAAAAGTCCTTTTGAAAGTTTTGATTGCATGTGATAAGTTACAGCGCCACCTCCAGCACTTTCACCGAAGATTGTTACTAGATTTGGATTTCCTCCAAATGATGCTGAAGATGGAATGAAATTTTCTTGTAAAATTTGATTTAATTCATGTCAAAAGTCAGCTTACCAATATTTTCTTGAATCCATTTTAAAGCTATAACTTGATCCTTTAATCCAAAATTTCCAGGACAGTTATCATCACCAGTTGACAAGAATCCTAAAGGTCCAAGTCTATAATTGATTCCAATATAGATCACATCATGTTCAAGCAATGAATCAGGCCCATAAAATGGCTTAATTCCCGATCCACACATCAATCCACCGCCATGAAAGAAAATCATCACAGGAACTGGATCTCTAATAACTTCAGGTGCATACACATTGAGGTAAAGGCAGTCTTCACATCCAGTTATCTCATAATCTCGTCTAAATGGATCACGTTGGATGCATATCGGTGGATCGTAATAAGCTTTAAGCTCGTCATCCCACGCCTTCTTTTTCTGAGGTGCCTGTATAAAAAACATTAATGAATTAAATAATAATCCAGTAATTAAAATTTCACATTATAAAAACAATTTCAGATAGAACTCAATGAAACCTGATTTGCATAGATGTATTGATCATGTGCCGAGATTATCGCCTTGGATTCATTTCTCAAATTTTGTCTCTTTGTGATTATGAAGGCTATAGAATGCATTTTAACTGTAGATTTACATTTCCTATCAACTTATTTTAATTGCAGTTTTATTTTGAGTTAATCATTTCGTAAGACAAATGTCAACAGAAGCTATTGTATCGCAATTAATTAAGATGATGTTTTTATTATTATGAAATTATGATTAAACCATTTAAAGCGTCAATTATTGAGAGTTAATTGATGATAATTATGGCACTGATTTAAAGTATGAATTTATCAAAATACAATTGATTCAAAGCATTTTTGATCTGATAGTTGATTTATAAACTATTGAATTCAAACACCTTCAAATTTTTGAAGAGGAAATGAATGATTTTATATTTAAATTTCAAATTGATTTTAATTCTGATTTGCATGTTTCTATTTCAATTTTTCGCACGAATTTAAGCAAATTTCTAAGAAATCAATTAACATTCAACAATCTTTTCATCAATTTCTTTCAATCACCTGCTTTAAAAATCATTATTTCTTAAAATCTCATTGATTAATGGAGTTTGACAAGCAAAGTAGTAAGAAGAAAAAGCTCTAAAACATCACAGAAGACCTTGAAATGCACTTGAATTCTAAAGAATTTATATCACAAGAACGAAGAACATTTCCTAAACATCTAATCACTAGTTGTTTAAAGGGTTACATTTATTCTTATCATTACACTTCACCTAATTCTATTAAACTCAAAATGATTGATAATGAATGTCAAAAAAAATATCAAAGTTCACTGAATTCGGATGATATTTCAAATCTGTTCCAAATTTCATGAATGAGAAATACTCAAAGTATTCATGACTCCGTAAAAAGGTGAGTATGGATAATAAGAAGTTTGGGGATTTTTTAACTTTCTATAATTAACTCTTTGCGGTTTTTTGTAACTTTACAGTTTTGTTCTTAAACATTTGACGTCATCATTTGAGCTCATCAACAAATGACATATTTCAATAGCTTTTGATAATTATAACTTGTTTATTTGAAGGTTTATTAATGGTATAGATCATTAGAAGATATAATCACACTTATGACTTTTGCTTTTAAAACCACAATATTTAATAATGTCATGCTTTTCAACCTTTATGACGAAACTGTTGGTTATATAAAACTTGTTCCTTCTTGTCTTTTCCAAAATAGTCATATTTAAAATTCACTTACTTTCCATCTTAATTCACCAATTGGTTTTTCAGCATAAGGTACACCCATAAAAGCTCGAATACCACGACCACTATCTGACGTCAAGTAACGACCGAGAAGTCTACTTCCATCAGGTAATTGAACTTTTAATTTCTCAGCTGTGCGACTATCACAACACAAAATGAAGTAACTGCACAATATTAAAGTTATTGCTTTAAACATTTTTTTGGGGAAAATATTTGCTTGCGTCGTTTTTCAAACCCGTTGAGAGACTGGAAAAAATCTTGTTTCGATCATCAACTTAAATACTCAACCGGCAAATCGAAATGAGAGAGATACTCAGTGTTATGACTTGATTCTGTACATGTGAGCAATATGAGACAGTAATGCGAAGCGTTTGTTTTGATTTGTAGCTTATCAACAATCGTGACCAACAAATATTTGGCTGCAAAAACCGGTTTTGATAATTTGCAGACATTCTTGTTTTGTTTTTGGATTCACCTACCGAATTTGAATGTCAAATCTAAAAATAATATTTTAATGACTTGGCAAAACTGTAAATATGGCATTTGCATAAAATTCAGAACCTACCACAGTAAAATCATTTTAATGATCTCCAAAAAGCTTCAGAAGAGCTTTCAAGTTCTAAAAATCTCAACAACTTTTTAAAATTTAAATCTTTTTGTTCTAAAAAAGTCTATGGGAATCAATCCGAAGTATATGAAGTATATAATGAACAAAACAAGTTGAAAATGTTCATGAATCGAGAACACTGGAACGCATAATATCAAGCTTTGCAATGATACCTAATCGTCCAAAATGAAGTTATATCACAAGATCCAGTATTATAAACTGACCCATATAAAAGCATAGATTTAGAGGATCCCAGATATCTGTGAACACATTATTTTCAAGGATCCCAATCGACGCATAGATAGACAAACTTAAAACACAGAATCAACTCCATTCCAAAAATATTCACACCGTACCATCAAGAGTTTTATGGATAGACAAAGATTTGCTCAGCATATATTTGCAGGTGTAAAGCTTGATAAGTCAGCTGTGCTTCGCTATGCATTACAAAAAGTTATATTGGTATGTGATTTATGTCAGAATTATGTCAATTCAAATAAAACATCCAAAAAAATTTTTTGACCAAAGTACACCATAGAAAATCAATTTTCAATTTTGGACTAGGGGCGACCCTAGTCAAAATCAATTTTGTCACTTTTTTCTTCGAGGGTTTATCCAAATGGATTTAAAACTTTGCATAAATATTCTAGTGCTTAAAACAAAAACAAATAAAACATCCTAAAATTTTTTTGAGCAAAAAACCAAGTAGGAAACTAGATTTTGACTAGACCTGTCCCAAGTTCATAATTGAAAATGTATTTCCTACTTGGTTCTTTGCTCAAAAAATTTTTAGGATGTTTTATTTGTATTTGTTTTAAGCATTAGTATATTAATGCAAAGTTTCTATCCATTTGGATAAACCCTCAAAGAAAAAAGTGACAAAATCGATTTTGACTAGGGTCGCCCCTAGTCCAAAATTGAAAATGTATTTCCTACTTGGTGTTTTGCTCAAAAAAATTTTGGGATGTTTTATTTGTATTTGTTTTAAGCACTAAAATATTTATGCAAAGTTTCAATCCATTTGGATAAACCCTCGAAGAAAAAAGTGACAAAATCGATTTTGACTGGGGTCGCCCCTAGTCCAAAATTGAAAATGTATTTCCTACTTGGTTTTTTGCTCAAAAAAATTTTAGGATGTTTTATTTGATTTTGTATTATACACTAAAATATTTACGCAAAGTTTCAATCCATTTGGATAAATCCTCAAAGAAAAAAGTGACAAAATTGATTTTGACTGGGGTCGCCCCTAGTCCAAAATTGAAAATGTATTTCCTTCTTGGTTCTTTGCTCAAAAAAATTTTTGGATGTTTTATTTGTATTTGTTTTAAGCATTAGAATATTTATGCAAAGTTTCAATCCATTTGGATAAACCCTCAAAGAAAAAAGTGACAAAATTGATTTTGACTAGGGTCGCCCCTAGTCCAAAATTGAAAATGTATTTCCTTCTTGGTTCTTTGCTCAAAAAAATTTTTGGATGTTTTATTTGTATTTGTTTTAAGCATTAGAATATTTATGCAAAGTTTCAATCCATTTGGATAAACCCTCAAAGAAAAAAGTGACAAAATTGATTTTGACTAGGGTCGCCCCTAGTCCAAAATTGAAAATGTATTTCCTTCTTGGTTCTTTGCTCAAAAAATTTTTAAGATGTTTTTTTTGATTTTGTATTATACACTAAAATATTTACGCAAAGTTTCAATCCATTTGGATAAACCCTCAAAGAAAAAAGTGACAAAATTGATTTTGACTGGGGTCGCCCCTAGTCCAAAATTGAAAATGTATTTCCTACTTGGTTCTCTGCTCAAAAAAATTTTAGGATGTTTTATTTGAATTGACATAATTCTGACACAAATCACACACCAATATTACTTTTTGTAATGCATAGCTTAAAAAAATCGAAATCTTAAATTTCGACTACCTTATCTGAATTTTGTTAATACTCGCCACTGTGGAATCCAAAAAAACAAATTTTTTATCTTAAAACACTTGACAAAATTGTGACATAATTCAGAATTAATTACTTTTTAATAATATTATAACATTTACGAGAAAATGTGGTTCAAAATCAGCTATACTGGTTCATAGTGTTCCCGAGGGTGACAAAATTCAAACTAAGTGTTTTTGTAGCTGACATAATTATGACATAAATTAGGTATAACTTTTGAACTGTGTCGTTGCTTTTTCTGAAGCAACGGCTGTTCCTACCTTGCCCAAAAACAATACAGCTCATCTATAGAACAGCACGGATCAAATGTAAAAAACTAGAAGTCTCTACGATTTCTCGTTATTGAGATTTCTTGCTGATTAACTTGCATGCTTGTTTGCTTGTTTTCTTGTTTACAGAAAGCGTATTTTGCGATTTTCTCAGCAATGCCGCAACCAATTTGAAATCTGTTTTTTGCAAATGATGTAAAATGTCAGGCACAATTTTTTCTTTTTGGACCTTTTATAACCAATTTTGCTTTATTTTCTCACAAAATGCGAAAACATGATTTTTCAATCTGAACAAAATCAATAGATTGACACGTGAAAACGGTGTGAATATAAAAATAAAGTCGCAAAAAGATCCAGTGAAAAACGTAAAATAGTTTCTTAATTAGGAAACTTATAGACTTAGCGGATTCCGCCCACTTAAGAAATAGTTTGTGTACAGCTGTCAAGTGTAAACATCCCACTGTGACACACATATTTTGATCTACATCAATTAAACTTTAGTTTAGTTTTTCCCTGTACTTCCAAGTGAGTACTAAACTTCTCTGTGCTGAAACAAAATAAGAGCTTCAATTTTATAAAATCATTAATTAATCTATAAAATTCTGCTCAAAAGGTGTTTTATAACAGTGAAATAGCTGCATAAGTCGGTTCTTTTCGTTAAGGTAGTAAATTTAGTAGTTGAAATAATGGATTTCATTAGTTTTTTCTTAAATTTCAATTTCGGCATCTTCTATGGCTTCTTATATCCTGCATATTTGAATTTTTCTGATAAGCTGAAGGACTTTGTTGTGCTGGATGCTTTATTTGTGCTGTAAAACTTAGTTTTAACTAATTTGCGGTGTCTTTAATCTGCGTTTTTATTTATTTTCCTAATTAAAGTAATTTAATATCCGAGTCAAGAAGCGATGGATTCAAATACCCGCTCTAGTTCCAGTGACAGAGAAAGAGATCGTGATCGAGCAAGACGTAGTGAGCGAGGTGGTGAAAGAAGCTCACGATTTGATAGTTCCCGTGATAGGTCTAAAGATTCAGAAACTCGTCGTATTTACGTTTCAAAGTAAGATTTTCCCACATAAGTAGTAGCTTCAACCTACGAAAAAGCTGGATTTTTCATAATACCTAATGATTTTTGTTCGATTCTCTAATACCTATATAGTATCGCATATGAAGTTCGTTGGCAAGATTTGAAGGATTTGTTTCGCAAAGAAGTCGGTGAAGTTGCTTTTGTTGAGTTATTCAACGACGAGAACGGCAAGGCAAGAGGTTGTGGCATAATTGAGTTTGTTAATGCCGATAGTGTACGCGTTGCTCTTGACAAAATGAATCGTTTTGATTTGAGCGGACGTAATTTGGTCATTAAAGAAGATTCAGGCAACGAAAGGGATAAATATGGCTTTGTCATTAAGCCACAAGGTTCTTATCGTAGAGATCGTGATGATGATAGATCGTACGTGTTTTTACTCCCATTTTTTCTTATTTAATTTTATTAGTTATCGAAAGTTGTTCATTCAAGAAGTCTTTGCTTGATTTTGCTGCGCTTTTCTTTCAATGAGGGTGGCACAAAGTCTTAAACTTTTACTTTATTTTTCCTTCAATGAACGACTTTGAGAGTGATTAGAAATTTTTCTGACAAATTCGTTGCAATATTTTTCATCTTTTGTAGCTACAATGACTCATCTCGTTCGCACGGTGGAGGTGGTGGTGGTAATAATCATGGAAATAATAACTCAAATCTTGAGAATTTCAATACGTATGGTTTATCGGTTAAGTTCTTAGAAGGATTGGGCATCACTCAAGGACCTTTGCATAATAAAGTATTCGTCGCTAATGTGAGTATTCCTTTGATGGTTTTTTTTCTGTATTTTTTCTTGATTATGTTGTTTTTATTTGACTTTCTCTCTCATCCTTATTTGCTGGACACAAAACATCTGCTTACTTGTTCAATAAACAAATCTTCATTCTTATCGTTCACAGTTAGACTATAAAGTCGACGCAAAAAAGTTGAAGCAAGTTTTTAAGCTTGCAGGTAAAGTTCTCAGTGTTGATTTGTCGCTTGATAAAGATGGAAATAGTCGTGGATTCGCCGTCGTTGAGTATGATCATCCCGTCGAAGCTGTTCAGTCGATTTCGATGTTTGATAGACAAACATTATTTGATCGTCGCATGACTGTACGTCTTGATCGTATTCCCGATAAAAATGAGGGAGTTAAACTTCCCGAAGGATTGAAAAGCGTTGGCATTGGGTTAGGTCCGAATGGTGAACCGCTCAGAGATGTCGCTAGAAATTTGCCAAATCTTCAAAATAATCCATCTCAGAATAACATGTCGAACTTGAATACTAATATTAACCCATTGAGTTCACTCAGCAACAGTTTGAATCAATTGACAACTCCAACGCCTGTTGCTGCTCCTCAAAATTCAAGCTTGCTTGGTGTCCCAACAAATAATAATTTATCGGGTCTTGCCGCTTTACAAAATGTTGTCGGTGGATTAACTAGTTTGGGCGGTGTCTCTGCATTATCAGCTAATCCATTGCTCTCATCTGCTGCTGCCAGTTTGAATTCTCTTGGCCTCAATCTTCAATCTACTGCAAATGAAGTTAATCAGGCTCAACAACAATCCATGAATCAATCATCATTTAATGCTTACAATACAAGCGGTTTCAATTCTGGAAATCGTAATGACGATTTGCCATCATTCGGTGGTAATCAAATTCGTAACTACAACACATCCAACGATGATTATAATAATTCTCGTAATTTTGGAGGTACCAGCTCTTCCCGTAAACAACAATCTGACACCATTCTCGTCCGTAACGTAAGTTGAAATGGCTTTTCAATTTTTACCATTTATTATAATTTGCTTTATTTAAATTCCATGTAGCTTCCTTCATCTTGGACCTGGCAAAATCTTCGTGACAAGTTCCGTGATGTGGGTGAGGTGAAGTTCGCAGAGATTCGTGGTCTTGATACTGGAGTTGTAAGATTTTCAAAGGAACGAGAGGCTGATGTTGCCATTAGTAAGCATTTAAACACGTTTTGAAAGAATTTAAAGTTTATTAATTTAAAAAATTCTTTTCCTCCCACAGAACTTCTTGATGGATCTCGTTTCGATGGTCGTGTTGTCGAAATTGACTACTTCTAATTAGCTTAATTATACCATTATTTCGCCAGATTTTTTGTTTCATCCCCGATTTTATTCACTCGCTCAGTCTTTTTTTTTTCTCTCTACCATTTTTAAGCCATCCAGTTTTCCTCCTCATATTCTTGCAGACTTTTTATCTTACTTCCATTATATCCAATTGTGTACAACTTTATGATTTTTAAAGAACAATTTTTGTCATTTTTTGGGAGTTTTAAATTACCTCGAAAATAATTCTTCCAAGGTTTTTGAAAAAAAAAGAAACTATTTTGATGGATGTCCGTTGAATTTTGATGATTCCCAAGTTCAAAATATTGTAATCCGCTTTGTCATAAAACAAACATTAAGGTGTGAGCATTAGAAATTTAGTATTGATGAATGTGAAACAAATGAAGATAATTGATACACTTAATGACCATTTTCTGACTACAAATAAATAGTAAGAAAAATATAAGAATACAAAAAGTAAAACCAAAACCTTTTTATCAAATTGTTCTGAAACATTTCAGGATTCGAACAAATGTCTAATGATATTTGAATGCATGTTATTAGAATTAAACTATCAAAATTTTTAAGAAATTGACAAAATTCCAACTTAAACTATTAATCAATTCAGCCAGCATTGTATACAGCAGCAATAAATATGCTCAACAACAACAACTATGTCATACCTTAATAAAATAAATATCAAATAATGTCACTCAATAACATTAAATTAATAATCAGATTTATGTAAAATAGGTCACATGCCCAAAACTGTATTAGATATGTGGGTATGTAAAGCTAATACAAGGGTAGAATCAAGGTTAATCTTCTAGTTTCCCGCCATAAGTTAACAACAGGCTTAAACCTGAATTTTGAGTAGCTATGAGCGACTTAGAGCTTAGAAATAACTACTTAAAGAGCAAATCTCAATTACAGAAAGAGAGTCGTGCAGCATGAGATGAGCTTAACTGGATTTTATACAAATGATTATTAAGTTTAGAGGATTACTAGTAATTGATAGTTTCATATTTGAAATTTGCAAAATTTCAGTTTTTGTCATCAGGTTCTTCAATGTTTAGAAGAAAATCTAGCATGAACGCAAACCGTCGAATAATATTCGTATATATGAAGCAGTATAGATTTTAGAACAAGGGAGAGAAGGAGAAAAGAAAAGAAAAAAAAACTTAGCTACATCGCATTTTTTATACTAAAATACAACTTTTTTTTGCCTGTGAAAAACATCTTTTAAATAATTATAATTTTTATTTTAATTTTGTTTACTACATCATTTATGTAATATCCTATCAAATCAAATACCTAACAATCATCATCATCTGATAAACATTAAGTTTCTCTCCAATACTGTCTAAATAAAGGAAGTTAAATATGTTCTTCTGCAACTGTTTGAATATAGTTGGTGAATTAATAAATGGCCAAAAAAAGGATGATAAATCCAAATCTAAAGTTAATCACTTACAATTCTGTACGACAAATTCATTATATTATGAACTGCTTGACTTTTTTAAATTGGTAAGTACAGACATAAATTGTTAAATGTAGATCTAGTTAAGTTGAAAATAAAACAACAATCACATAAAAAATAGCCATATTTACAAATTGACAGTGGAATAAAACGAAAAGAAGATTTGTGACGGCATAACACATACATCTGTTGAATGAAAAGCTTAAAAACAAATTCTAATTTCTGCTAAATAGCCGATAAATTCGCAGAAAATTAAAATTATTTCAATTATTAGTGATTCCGACTCTACTTTTTTTTTCACTGTCGTTGTCTTTTCTTCTTTCTTCTTGTTGATGTATAGGACAGATAAGACTTGTCTCGCTATTTTCGTATATACGAAGAAATTATTAGAGACGGAATTTGAGGCTTACAATGTTTGCTAAATACATAGTCGTACGGGGTGAACGGTTTAATGCAACTATGTATGATTAGTTTTGTTAAATGAACTAAAATGGTTGCCGCTGCACCATTTTTGTTCTTTATGTTGTCAAGAATTTTTAATTTGCAATAGTCGTGTGATTTACACGGTTCTGAGAAGTCTTTAGCATGACACTATTCGAAATAATTAAATCCGCTAAATTTAATCCCACAGATTAAGTATTGAGAACATAAAAGTGAAAACTTTGCGAAATCCAACATATCCATAAATTTTTATACGAGTTTATCTCTTTGTTGTCTGCACAACATAAAGAGCGAAAAGTTCTCTACCTGCCGTTCTCAAGAGATAATGTTCTTTTGTACCAAAAACTACTTATCTCAGCATATATATCCATAAAAATGAACATGAATGACCCGAAAAAGATAAAATTTTATGAATAATCATGTCCTTTTTTTACAGGCCTTAGGATTTACGTGTGATGAGGCGAAAATCAATGTCCAACATCCGATTTTCGTCAGTAAGATTAAGACGAATAAGTGGACAGTGAGTAAATGCTTAAATTGTGATTGCAACGTCTATGCAGTGTCTGACGATGGCAGTCATGAGATATTGGTGAATGGAAATCTGTTGCGTGACAAAAATGCCATGTCTGAGATGATGAAGAATGAACATTATTCGATGCCATTTAAAATAATTCTCAAACAAATTGATTTACTTCCAAATACAATCAAATCAACAATCAATGATGATGTTCATGTCAAGAATCTATTCACAAAGTTACAAGACTTTATATCGCATGATGCAATCGAAACTGAGGATGAGATCCGAAAGCTTCAGAATAGGATGAGTGAGAGAAGACAAAAAGCTGAGAAGGAATTAAAACTCATCATGACACTTGTTAGCTCGATTGAATCGAGTAGCAGTGACAATTTTAGCACCCTAGAAAGTACAAATGATCATATTCAATCGTTATATTCAACTCCACCGGTTACACCAGAAAGTGCTCAATTAATGACAATTGATCAATTACCATCGCATCCAATCATAAAGCACGTTGATCATAATCATAGAGAAGGTATCTCTAAGCATAACAACGCTATTATGATGCAGCAGAAAGTCACAAGAACGATTGACTTTGAGGATGACATTTTTGAGTTGGACGGAATGCAGAATAGCGAAACGATTGAAGAGAATGATCGCTATCATAAATATTCTGATACAGAAGGTTCTGATGTTGAAGAAATGATTACCGAGAAGCGACCTTATGCGCGAGGACGTTCTGGATCGTTAGCCATTGCACGAAGCGCACCCATTTCTATGCCTCAATTTTTAAACCATGCTAATCCTCATCTTGATGAAAAAAATATCAATAATGATCATGACATTGCTTCAAGCATTAAACTATTAGCTAAAAGCATACACGCAGATTCCATTTTTGGGGAATTGCCAAACAGTCGTCCAATTTTCAAGTATAATACTGACTTTTAGGAATGCTCCTACAACTTTTCATGTTATTTTTCATCATTTGACAAATTTTTTATCCCAGCTACATTTTTTAATTCCTCAATTTTAATGGACTTGATACAAAGATGAAAAATTATTAAGAAATCAATACGATAACAACTTTTTCAAATGATAATAATTACATATATTTTGCTGATTACATGAGTATTAAGCTCATCAATAAATGTTTAAGATATTAAAACAAACTTGTCTTTATTTTGTTTTTTGCATGTATAAAAGTCAATTCTTTATTAGTCATTTACACTTACTTAATATGGAATAATACATTTCAGATCAGAGTACGATTGTTTATCAATACAGTAGTGAGAAAAACGCACAGTAGAAAATATCATCAGCTGTGGAATTGAACTTGACTGGAATGTGCTCATTTTGTTTCAGAACCGTACAAATTATTATGTTTTAAGACTGTTGTGGAGCTACTATTGAGAAATATTTGAGTGGTTTTTATTCTTTTGCACTTTAAATCATTTGTATTGTCCCTATTTTATTATTAGATCTATTCTATAATTTTACTCTATTTTGGAAACATTTGTATGGTTTTTAAAGTATTAACACTGTTTTGTGGTTCTCAGTTCACTTCTAAAACTGTTGTATGGTTCTCAATTCACTTCTAAAACTGTTGTATGGTTCTCAATTCACTTCTAAAACTGTTGTATGGTTCTCAATTCACTTTAAAACTGTTGTATGGTTCTCAATTCACTTTTCAAACATTTGTAGGGTTCTGAAACACTTTGAAGCATTATACAGTTAAAATTCATCCCGTAAAAATAGCTAGAAAAAAATTGTGTTAATTGGTCATCAATAGTAACTTAATAGCTAATTTTACAAGTTAAAAAAAATATTTATATATGTATAAAAAAATTTCCTATGAAATGCAGTTCTCATTGTAAAGTATAATCACGATAATTTTTCATTGCCTTTAGTTCCTTTTTAATTTTCGCTATAAAGTCTGAGGGCTGAAGTAAGAGGCTTGTTTCTAAGCCCACCGAATTCAGCAATAATTCAGTCTCATCATATTTTTTGTGAGATATAAGACTCAAAGGACGAAAGTTAATCTCGGTTATGATCCAAAAGATAGAGTCATCGTCATGTGATGTGTATGGTCTTGATGGAATGCCTGAACGCGATGCAATAGAGTTTGGAACAATGTCAAGCAATGATGAACCATCTCTTAATAATCCTAAGCATTGATTCTCAAAATCACGTTTTACTATAAAAATACCGGCTAATGGCAATCGCTTAATTGTCACTTCCACAAAAAGTCCAGCACACATTTTGATAAATTTTTGAGCATCAGCTGGTGATTTAATATTGGCAATATTATTAATAGCTAATAATTGGTCCCCAATATGAAAAACATAAAGCTGCGGATTAGGCTTAAAACCTGATATCCAAAGCTGTCCATTATACGATGCAAATGCTATGGCATCAACGCAATCCTTCTTGCGCAGTTTAAAACGAATCTCTGTATTAATCTCATGTCTTAACTGTAAAACTTGCTGTTCACGCAACGATAATTTCCTTTTCTCATGCTTTGGAGTGTTTGATGTCGATGCCGCCGTTGCAATTGGCATTTTTTTCGGTGTGTTGGGCACAGATTTTGCACTTTCCTTTTCAATTATGTTTATATTGTTATTAAGCTTCTTAATAAATGACGATGTCGAGGGAATTGATTGATTTGATATGATATTCACACTATTATTAATTACTACAGTTTCTTCAGATCCATTTTGATTACTATTAATTGTATGTGATGATAATGCCTTACACAAGTGATCATATTCGACGGCAATTTTGATTTTTGTTACTTTTGATTCATCTACTTTTGATATGATTTCATTATTAATCTCATTTGACTCGATTGGAATTATGGTAATATTATTATCACTAATATTAGTCACGTCTTCTGCCAAATTATGATTATACTCAATATTTAGAGACGTTGGAAGGACATTGATTAATGGCTCTTTTTCACTTTGATCATACTCTTCATCCTCATCAAATTCTTCTTCGTCATAATCAAAGCTATTTGCAAATTGCAAGTCAGAATTGTTGGATGTATAGCGACACAGCGGATTAGATAGTAAATTGATAAGATTTTGAGATGATGTGTTAGATGTTGCAAAATTAAATATTGGAATGCTTATTGCCTGCTGTTCTGAGTCATCCTCATTATTATTGTTTATACTTATATTCATATTATTACTACTAACTGTAAATGACTCAAATGTAATTGACTCGATTTGTGTATTTTCATTTTCACTAACTGGTTCTGTTGATATTATGGATGCTGTCCTACTTTGTGATGTTGTTGTCGTTGATTGTTGCACCTCTAAGCCTGGAATTCGTTCATCAGACTCAATCGGAGGACATTCAGGCAATGGATCACGGGGATTTCTCGTCATTTGAAGTATTGGTCTCATTGCTGGCGTTTTCGTATAAATATTCTCTTTTGGTGATAACACTTTTAATTCACGTAACTTTGTCTTTAAGCAATTCACCCAATCATTCATTAAATCCCAACGTTTACAGCTAAATGAGAAGACGTCGTTGTCTAATACGATAATAAACTCATGTGATGATTCGGATATATTTCGTGGAATTCTCAGACCAACATACTTTGTCCTTTTCAACTCTAAAACATGCAAATGGCTTGCATGTGATGCATGTATCTTTTTTGCATAAACTGAAACACAATCACAAATTACATAATTATTAGCTTCCTTTACACTATTCTGTTCACAGGCTGAAATGTAATTTAGGGGGGGGGGGGGGGGGGGGGTGCAATGTATGAAATTATTTTTTTTATTTTTTTTAGCATAAAATGATGTAAATGATTAGAAAATAATAAAGTTATATTATAAATAGTAAAATTGAATGATTTTAACTTAAAATTTTTAAGTGAATTTGGACAAAAAAAAATTTTTTGAAACTTTTCATCTTTTTAAGATTTGGGATGATCCCTTATACAAAAGGTTCGGGAAACCTGATTTTACGTAAAACTGTAATGATCACTTAGACAAATGGTCCGAAAATACTGAAAGTATTTCTGCATTCAAAACAAAAAAAAAATCTTACCAAAACTTAAAAAATTGAAAAATTTGCAAAAATTACAAAAATTTCAATTTTACTCAAAATCACTCAAATAAACTTTTTTTGTTATAATTTTACTATTTTCTACACATTTACAGCATTTTAAACTTGAAAAAATAATAAATTTTTTTTCATATATTGACCCCCCCCCCCCCTAAAGTACACTTTTACCCATTTCTATTAAGGTATTAAGATACTTACTCTCAAATAATGGCTCATTTCGCATACAGAAGATTGTAAAGACTTTTTTTCCATTTAAATTTAAAAATCCTTGTTTGATGATTTCCATTTTATTTATGTATAAAACTTTTGTTTTCCATATTTTTCATTGCTTCTTCTATGTACTTTTCAGGAATTTAGCACTTTATTCATACAAATACGACGTTTAATTAACTTTTTTATAATTTTTTTCTAATAAATTCCTTTCATTTCTCGTATTCACTTTTTTACGTACCTACGTATTTATGGATATCCAGCATAAATGTCGACAGATACGTAGCATAAAAACATTTCGGAGTTTTCATCCAAAACTTAATTCACAACTTACCTCTAATATCTTTTGTTGTTTTCATTAAGTTTAAGTTTCATTGAGTAATTATTAAGCATAAATTACATAAAATCATAAAAATTTGCAGCATAAAACCGTTTGAAAAATAATTTAAAGTTCGCATGACAGTCTGACACAAAAGAAACTTTCAAATTTTTTTAAGGAAACATTCAAAAAAATAACGGTCATTTACAAAACGCAAAAATTTGTCAAAATAACATTTAATTAAATTTCTATTAGAATAACGCGTCAAACATTGTTAAATATAGTTGAAAAAGGCGCAATATAGACTAGTGAATGATAATAAAGTGAAGTAAGGGTGAAAATCGTGATAAATAAGTCAATAATGATTAAAATAAATGGAACTCTTACTTTTGTGGATAAAAATGGTGAAGATAAGTCGCTAGTTCGAGTAATTGACAATTTAACAGAAATTAACATCGGTTCTCGTCCAACTAATGATATTCTGATCAAGTCTGATGATGTTGAAGAATCTCATTGCAAGATCTACTATAATGAAATTCAAAAGGTATTAAGGCATAACTTTTACTCTTTCTCTCGGTTCTCAAACTATTTTTTTCAATAATGGCTGGCTCTTACAGCCGGCATAGCATTCAAAATTATGATTTTAATTAATTTTAATGTTTAATTTAGCTTATAATCAAGAATTATTCAACATCTCATCCGATTTTGGTGAATGGTAAAGTTGTTGATAAATCCAAAGACCTCAAAAGTGGCGATGTCATCACAATCCTCGAAAATAGTATGCGTTGGGAAACAAAAGATGATGCTAAAAGTAAGGGATACCATTATTTGCGTTAAAGTTCTTGTAAAATAATGTTTTTAACTTTCAGGACGCATATCATTCTTATCAAAAGATGAAAGAAAAGCCATTAAACGCAAATATATGAAAACTAACAGCCGAATAACAATTCACAGGTAAGGAAAATTCCGTCATATAAATCACGAATTCCTTTACATAATTTTCAAGTACAAAATGGTCAATTCTGTAATAAAAAAAATTGCATTTTAGTGTTAGTTCACAAAGTATGATTAAGTCAAGTCCTGAAGAAGCATCAGGTAGCAGCTCAGCTGAGAAATTCAGTACTCCAGAAACCTTGGAAAGAACTCCAGAAGCAGCTGAAGAAAATATTTCACCAGTGAAGGAACAACAAGTCGTTTCAAAATATAAAGAAAATGAAAAGACACCAGTCAAAGTCAATAAATTAAACATGTCTGGAACTTTATTGACATCGTACACCCCACCAGCTGGAAAATTGACAAGTAGAGTGTACAAGACTCCATACAGCACTCCATTAAGATCGCCTTTAGTCAAATCGGCAGCAAAAAGTATTTTAAATGATTCTGTAAATGTCTCAAAATTTGACAGTCCAAAAAGTGCTCAGAAACTCAACAACTCACAAATGCATTTAATTGATCTGACCACACCATTCGTAAAGCGTACTGAAACTACATCCACACCAAAAACATCATCAATAAGAAAGACACCAAGGACAATTGGTAAAACACCTCTTCGAAATGCTACGTTGCTTAAATCAGCCATCAAAAATTCATCAATACAGAAAAATGTCATACAAAATGTCTCAATCGTAGCTACAAAAGGCAAACAGCTGTTTGACTCACCGGCAAGTAGGAACACACCAATTAAGGAAGATACATCGTCATTAATTGAAATTTCCATGTCATCAGTCAGTGAAAATGACTCAAGTAAAGGATCAATTAATGAAAATGAATGTGCAGCACAAAAAGTCGAAGAAAAGAGTGGAAAGACAACAAAGGATGAAGTCAAGGATCTTTTAGAAAGCATTGATCAAGTTTTAAAGGAAGAAAATGGAAGTCAAGGATTAGCAGAACCAGAAGAAGTACTTACTAGCTCACAGGAGCTTGAAGAAGATTTTAATAAAATCGTGGACAGTCAAAAAATATCAATTGGTTCCATTAATGAAAGTATTTTCAATAAAGCATTGAATAATGTGCCAATTGAGGATATAAATGATTTTGATAAGTTATTAACAGATGAAGGCACAAGCAGCAGTACTGATGATACTGAGAAGAAAGGAGAAATTGTTTTAAAGTTCATTAAAGAGGCACGAGAATCACTATCGACGTCTAATATGCCCACTCAAATAATTTCTTCACGTTATTCAAACATTACGAATGAGTCACTAAGTGAATGTGTCAATACCTCACAAAAGTATGATGCTACAACTCCGAAAATAACACTTTTGGATATATCTGATCGTAATAAAGACCTAACAATGAGTCCAGTCAGTCGATTAAGCTTGACAAAAGATTCAACTGAAATTGTCGAGAATTATCAGCTAAATAGCAACAATTCAGAGTCACTAAGAAGCACCAGGAAGCGCATGAGAACAGCAATGTCATCGATTGGAATTTTAAATTCCTCACAATCAGCAGACACATCATTAAATGAAAGCCTTACTGCTTTAATTAGTGATAAGGATCAAGTAGATTTAAATCAATCGCAACCGGAAGAAACAAACATTCTTTCATTAGATAATCAGCCTGATATGAATACATCAAATAAAGAAAATGAGTTTAATGGATCTTTAAACATGTCCATAAAGTTCCTTGAATATTCAGAATCTAATGAAAATAATCAAGATTCAAAAATAATTTTTGAATTTTCTAATGATGGCGATGACTTGATAGATTCAGACATTGAGTCAGAGAGCGAAAGTGAAGATAGTCCAAACGAAGATATCCTCGATGAGCCAATGGACGATGAAATAATCGAGAATGAAAACAATGAAAATACTGATTTAGTCGATTCCAATAATGCAAGCATTAAAAAGTGTCGAATTAGTAAAGCAGATTTAGAATCTCTCGGTGAGGATGGAATAGACATTTTAGAACAGTCAAAGGATGAAGATCAGCTTGCTGAAATGCTCGAAGATGTTAATACAGATATGCAAGAAGTACAAGAAAGCGAAACAGCTGAAAATAACGGAAATGATGAATTTGAAGCCCTTATAGAGACAGCAACAGACAGTAACGGTGTCAATGACTTTGATGAGATTCCAGAAACCAAACAAATTGAATTAGATGATGAAATGGCTGAAAAGGAAGTTTTATTGGATAATTCTGAATATTTGGATGACATTCCAGAGACACAACAGCTTGATTTTGGCATAGAAGAGACAAACAGCACATTTAATGGCACAATAGAAGCTCTTGATTCAACAAAGGAAAGTGAGCCACAAGAAGATATACAGCAAGCCACTGAAGAACTACCTATTGAAAATAAAGATGTTTTAGACGAGACAGTTGAGGATAAGTCGTTAAATGAAACAAATGGAAATAAGCAGCTTAAAGACACAGAAGAGCAGTTAGATGAAACAGTTGAAAATAAACAGCTCAATGAAACATTTGAGGATAAGCAGCTTGATGAGACAATTGAGGATTCTTTCAATGATCATGTAGAAATTCCAGCAACTCAAGCATTTGAATTTGATGATTCGATTGATCAAGAAAAGCTTGATGGAACATTTAATGTTGATGTAAAGGAAGAATCAAGCCTAAGAAACTTTGAATCAATTGGGTCTGCATTCACTGTAAATGATTCAACAATAATAAGCTCACAAGAACCAGTTAACAAGTCTGATTCAATTTCTATTCAAGAAATCAGTGACTCGAGTGAGATATGTTCACAGGAATCGATTATAGCCAAACAAGGATCAAGTCTTCATCCAGAAGACATAATATCTGAGAATGACACCAATGAAATTGTAAATAAATCTCCTATGAAAGAAACTTGCTCTAAGGAAACTTTAAAATCATTAGAATCGAATATTAGTGAAACAATTAATGAATTAATTGCAACTCCAACGGACATTTTAACAAGCATAGCTGTAGTTCAGCAATACTCGACTTCTGAAATTGGTTCTGATCATATGGAAATTCCAGCAACTCAAGAAATGATTTATGATGAATTTGATAGTGAGGAAGTTGTCGAGAATAAAACTGCAGAAGGAGATTCAGCTATTGGAACTGCAACAAGCAGTAAAATTGATCAATCGAATGATAGTGACGAGAAACGTGCTGATGATTCACTTACTGTCGACAATCCAGTCCAAAATCGTGAAAGTGCTTTGTTCAGCGACACAGAATTCAGTCATGTTGATATTAATGCATCCGCATTCCTAAAAGAGACTGATTCCGATGGTAAGTTCTAAAATTCTTTAGATTAAAAAATTGTTTAAAATAAATTTGAATAATTAACGGTTTTCAAAAATTTGAATTAGTTTAGTACTAAAAGACCACATTTCTTATAGATTTCCCAGAAATTAAAAACAATCAGGAATTGACAGATAACGAGACAAATAAAGCACAAATTGACGAATTAGAAGAAGATAAAAGTGAAAAACAAAAGGAACTCATCGAAAAAGAGCTGGAAAAAGTTGATTTTAATAAGAAAATAGTCAAAAGAGCAGCTTCAATTTTGCCATCGGAAGTCCAAAAATCCTCTGGATCTCGCCAAACAATGATTCCAGAGCGAATTGATGATTCATTTGCTGCATTCATTGAGAAAAGGCAGACGGAATTCAACGAATCGGAAGGAATTGAAACAAACAAAGTTCAGGACGAAATTGGAACTAAAAATGATGACCTAGAAATTGAATCTTCAGTTAATGAAGAAGAAATGAATGAAATTGAAAAGGAACTAGCTCGAATGAATGCTGAACCTATAGTTAATGTTGAGAAAAAGAGAGCAACAAGCATGATGCCACAATTTGAGGATGGTGAAAGTAGCAATAAAGTCACATCCAGAATGACAATTATACCATCTGAAGACAATCGAAGGACATCATTTTTAGAAAGCTTAGAGGAAGAAAAAGCTGAAAAAATTAAGCAAGAGGAATCTTTTGAAATTGTTGAAGGTAAGACCTTCGATTTTAACTAATTTGCTCATAATAATTAATAATTCTTTATTATATCTAGAAAAACCGAAACTAATCGTTGAGGACGATGAAGATACACAAAAAATCGAAGAGTTGAGCTCAGATAATCAAGAACAGAAAGATAAGGAACCAGTTGTGGAAGAACTATGCATTAAAAAACAAGCTTATGTGACAACTGAAAGTGAAAAAGAAGTAACAGCTCCAGAAACACCGTCGAAACGACGAGTTGCACGAGTCAATTACTCTGAATTGGCCACTGGATCTCCAGCAAGATCAAGAAGAGCTCGTTCGGCATCAACTGAATCAAATGGCGATATGCAAAAGGAACCAAAATCAGCAGTAAAGCATAAGGAAAAATGTGTCAAAATGGAACCAATTGTTGAGGACGATATGTCAGTACAAATCACAGTAACAGCTACAGAAAATATTGAGCAAGTGACTGAATCAAGCGAAGAAGTTACAGTTCCTATTATTGAAGAAATATCGACTGAATTAGATTCAAAATTGTCTGAAAAGGAACCTGAAAGTGTAGCTACAGACGAGATTATTGAGGAACACATTTCTGAGCCAGTTTCTGACGAGGAAATGATTCAACAAGACGATATAATCAACGAAGACAATGAACTTGTTCCTGAAATTATGACTGATGATACTGAAAACGAACCAAATGAATCTAAAACTTCTCATGAACATCCAGAAAATTTACAGCTAATGGAAGTTCCAAAACCCGAAAACTTACAATTAATGGAAGTTCCAGCGCCTGAAAAATTACAAATTATGGAAGTGACAAAGCCAGATCGTTTACAAGTTGTAGAAGTAACGAAACCAAGTCAAGAACATCCAATTGAAAGTAATCTTGAGGATATTTCTAATAATTTCGACGCTACACAAAAAAATATTGAAATTTCTGAACCAATTGACGAGGAAGTAATAGCTGAAACTGAAAACATTGATTCTGAACCTCTAATAGAGGAACACATCGATGAAATGCTAGAATCGACGTCAGAAGGACCAGAATCAGAACCAATTGAGCAAATTGACGACGAAATTATTGAGTCGTTAGAAGCAGAAGATTCTCAGCCTGCTAAAGAAGGCAATGACGAAATTATTGATATTAGAGAATCTGTTGAAAGTATCCAAGAAAACCCAGTCGAGGAATTAAGTAACGATATCATTGAGACTGTAGAAAAGGAATCTGTTGAAAGTATTCCAGACGAAACTGTACAAAACTTGGCAACTGAGCCTGAAATAACTCCTGAAAGCGAAGAAAATGTTCAAATTCCTGTAAAGGAAGTGCCATCAAAAATTGGTAAGTGTTGGACATCACTAATTAAGAATGTCCACAGTTTACTTAAAAATCTAATATTTTAATTCTTAAACAGCTAAAGTAGAAGAAATTGTTACTGAGCCACAAACACCATCCAGGAAACGTGCGAAAAAACTCAATTATCTTGAATTAGCTTCAGGATCACCAGTAAGGACACCACGACGAGGCAGAGCTGCATCTACGGAAGAGAAACAAGAAAAATCCACAAAACCAGACTTGCCACCAACAATTCATGAAGAAATTAGTGAAAACACTAAGAATGAAGAAATTATTAAATCCACAAATGATGAATTGGTCACCAAGGACGTAGAACAGGCACAGGAAGTCAAGAAAAAACCTGGTCGAGGACGAAAAATTGAGCAATTAAAACCTGAAACTGAAGACGTTCCAACGCCATCGAAACGTTTACGACGTGGAGTCACACCTGTACAAACACAAGCTCCTGTAATTGGTAAGTCAAACATCATGTCCTATATTCTCATTTACAGCATTTAATACTTATCATATTTAATTTAATTAGAATTAGAAAAGAAATCTCGTAAGCGCCAACAAAAAGTTGTCGAATCAGAGCCAGAAAATCTTCAAGATAAGGAACTGGAACCAGAAGTTCAAGCAGATGAAGTTGTTCAGGTATCGTCCACAGAAAGTATTCAAGAAGCACCAAAACCTGTAGCTAAAAAAGGACGTGGTAGACAGCCAAAAGTTGTTGAAGAAATTTCAAAGGAAGAAATAAAAGTCGATGAGCCACAACAAGTCAAAAAAGGTCGTGGCCGAAAGGCTAAAGTTGACGAGACACCCACAATGGATGAAAAATTACCAGAAAAAATTGAAACAAGTCCAAAACGTGGTCGTGGACGTAAAATTGTCGAGGAAAGTCATGAAGAAAAGACAGAAATTATGGAAACGCCTGTCACTAAGAATTCACGTAAACGCCAGCATGACAAACCAGCAGAAACAGAAAAATCCAAAGATACAGAAGATATTAATACTGCCGAAAATGCAGAAGAGCCTGTCAAATCTCCACAGCAAGTTAAAAAGCAAAATCGAGCTCAAAAAGCTACTGAAGAAGTTGTAGAGAATGAACAGCCTGAAAAGGCAACAATCGCTCCAAAACGAGGAAGGAAAGCAAAACTTGAGGCTGTGCCTGAAATCCAAGAGACACAAAAAGAAGAAATGGTACCGAAACGAGCTGGTCGTAAACCTAAAACTGAGGATATTGTTGAAACTAACGAGCAACCTGCTGTCCAAGAAGCACAAAAAAGAGGTCGTGGACGTAAAAAAGTCGATGAAACTCCAAAAGAATCAGAAAATGAGCCCGAAAAGGTTGAGGAATCTGCTCAAAAACGAACTGGGAGAAAAGGCAAGAATGAAGTTGCTGAACATTCAGTTCCTCAAACGCCAACAACAGAAGAATCTGTTCCAAAACGAGCTGTACGAAAAGGTAAATTCAACTTTTTTTTAAAAATTCAAATTTTAACGAACTTCTGAAATTTGAAAAAAAAATGGACATAAAATTCAAAATTTATTCAACGGTTTTTTTAAAAATTAATTTACAGGTAAACTTGAAACAATCCAAGCTGAAATTAAAGACAATGCAGTACAAGAGACGCCAAAACGAGGAAGAAAGGCTAAAGTTGATGCAACACCAGTGATTCAAGAACAGCAACAACAAACAGAAGAAATTGCCCCGAAAAAAGGAGGCAGAAAAGGCAAAACTGAAACTGTTGCTGAAAGTCATGAAGAGCCAGTAACATCAGAAGCACCGAAAAAGGGTCGTGGACGTAAAAAGGCTGAAGAAGCACCAAAAATCGAGGAACCACAAAGTTGTAATGTACAAGAAGAACCAGTTCCAGTTAAGAAGGCTCGTGGACGACAAGCTAAAGTTGCTGAAAAAGTGATTGAAACAAAGACTGATGAATCAGAGGAAGTAGAAACAGAAGCACCAAAACGTGGTCGCGCATTGAAACATAAAGTAGTTGAACCTGAAATAATTGAGCAGCCAGTCATTAAAAAGCCTCGTGGACGACAAGCAAAACAGGAAGTCGTTCCAAAGGAACCAGAAAGTAGTCAGTCAATTGAGTCACCAAAACCTGTAAAAACACCAGTTAAGAGAAAAGTTGCTGCCGCTAAGCACGTCACAATTGTCACACCATCGACAATGCAAGCTCATCATTCCAAAGAGTCGACGAAAAGTGAAGAACCAGTGGTAGCTAAGCGAGCTACTAAACGACAAGCAAATCCAATAATTGAAGAGGAACCAATTGCTGCAAAACGCTCAACGCGTGTTAGAAAATAAGAATGAAAGATATTTTTTGAATTTAATTAAATTTTCATTTCCTTTGTTATTTTTTACAAAACGAATATATATTTTTTGATTAGAAACTGAATGAAAAATCGTTAAGTTATGAGACATGCTAAACTTTTTTGTTTAAAAATTTTCTTCTATTCTTTCTTTTTGAGTTTTCATTTTTTTTTTTATTTTTTACTAGATTTTAAGGATATACTTAATTTCTCATTACAATTTTTAAATAATAAAGAAAATACACATTGATATCCGATGATGATTATTGACATGAATTTAATTTGTTCGTGTAGAAATTATTAAAGTTGATGCGATGAATAAGAGAGACATACTTTTCAGAATGATTTTTTTCGGCTAGTTCATGGATCTTCATTAGTAAAGCAACGGTTTGTTGGACGAATAAGGAATCGTATTTGGTAACTTTCTCGGAGAATGTTTCTGTTGATGCGGTTTGTGCCTCCTTCTGTGAATTTATGAATGAAAATTTTATTTTTAAATTTAGCAAGCTTAATTAGGGTCGTTCACAAATGATGTCTAGGGTCTCTAAAACGGTTCACAGAAATCAGTTCAATTCTATGAAGATTATGTGACAGAGCAGGGCATAAGACATAAAGTATAAGCTTTATTTGTGAACGAACCCTTAAAATGAATGACTATGTTTGAAAACCCTACAAATGTTTTAAATATATGAATTTGTACAGCTCTGGTACATTAAATTAACTTAGAACCTGACAAATGTTTCAAAATGTACAAAACCATACAAATTCTTAATAATTTGTAAGGTTTTTAAACAAAATTCAAATATCAGTAAACTGTTACAAATGTATGAGAACTGTGTAAGCGCGTGTGCATGTAAAATAATAAAAATCAATTAATGAACTAAAAGTGCAGTTTTTAATAAAAAGTATGTTAATAATGTAACTTTCTCAGCGTGTTAAAAGCACTTTAGCTAACCTGATTACTCTGTTCATTATATGGCAACGAACTATCATCGTTGTTTGGATAACTATTTGATAACATTGATGATAGTTCGGCCTCAATGAAATGACGTTGCGCTTCCTAGAATAAAATTCGTGTCCAAAATGGATAGCAGATACAACAAAAGATGTGTGAGAGAAATTTTATACAATTAATACACCACAATATAATAAGGATATAAAAAGTCCAAAAATAGCAAAAAAAATAAACAGCATAACTGGATTTAACATACCTCAATGAATTCACAGAATCCAATGCACAGTGTACACATTTTAACGATGCATTTAAGGATGTCAGGCTCGGTCAGCATGCAATTTTTCAAGCATTTATCCAGGAAGTCATCATGATGAGCCAAAACATCATCGAAATTCTTAGCTTTCGAAATCTGCTGCATAAAAGTATGCCAAACAGGCTCTATAACTTCAACCATCATATAATATTCCAAATTTTGTATAGCACTCATCATTCTCTGACGCAATGTAAATGCTGATCTATACTGCTCACTCGTCCGTTGATCAAACTTTTTGGCATTATTATTTGCAATCCATACGCGACACAAAAAATTCTCGACATGCTTCAAGTAGAATAATTGACGGAAAATGATTTGATACTTGGATATTGTCATTTGGTTTAATATGATTGATATTGGCCAAGCTGTTTTATAATCAAATGAGAAGCATTCGATTCCCGTCTTCATATCATAATCAACTACATCAAATTCATCATCTGACTCATCGCTGCTCTTCATAATTTTAGTCATTTGAGTGAATATATCGAACGGCATTAATGTCGTGATTAAATTATCTTGATATTTATCATGCTTAGCTGACGACAGACGTAATGTTAATTCTAATAGATTCTCAAGACGAATTGGAATGACTTTATCAACGCCTTTCATTAACTCATGCTCACATGCGTCCATAAATTGAACAATAAAATCTCCTTGTTGTAACAAAAAGTATCGCTTGACACTCAGCAAATGTCCCATCAAGTCATGATCATCCATAATTAATTCCATTAAAGCTTTTGATGAGTATACATAAGCATCATTAATATGATTAATGTAACTTTGATCATCAGTGTGTGAAAACTTTAAAACTGTGCCTGAATGATGATTAAAAGACAAGCGCTTCCCACAGTCACGAACAACGTTTAGATACTTTCCAGTCCTTAAAATAATGTTTGCTTGTTTTTCTAGGAACCTTGGAATCTTTTCAGTTTTTAGGACATACTTTTTATCCCAAAATTCATTGTATGCATCACTAACGACGAGATTCTCAAAGTCATTCTGATTATCCTCAACGAAAAATTCATTCTTTGGATCTTGGATGATTCCTTTAAAAACCCACAAGCTTAATATTTCCATATACGGCTCAGCAGCTTTCTGAGTGAGATGAATGAGAATCTTTTGAGAATTTTTATCTCCACTAAATAATGAGATTGAGTCATGAAGACTTGTAAGGACATTTCCACCACGATAACGATTTTCCTGCAATTTTCCACAGATTTTCGTGACTGTTTCCATTGTCTGAATTATTGGACGTAAATAAAACAGTAATTTATGGAGATTCAATTCATGTCTTAGATGCATAGATTCCAATTGTGCGATTGTTGCATAATAATCATCAACTAATTTACTAAGAGCTTCTGATAATGCCTGCAATACTTGTCCACTCGATGGCCCTCGTGTACTTTCAATGAAGTATTGTAGCTGAAAGTAGTAATTGGCTAATGGAAGGATGTCTTTTAATATATCTCGAATGGAATCAGTAATTTGTTCATTTAAATCAAATTCTACGGCTACACTACGATTTTCTAGCCAATTATTAACCATTGTATACTCGTCTTTGGGATCAAAAAGGAAAGTCTTTAATTTTGGCACAATCAAAGATCCATTAACTCCAATAAGTGTATAAAGCAGTTCCTTAATTACTTCCCTTTCTTGTTCTGATGCTGGCAATCCAACAATTGGTTTAGGCATCCTCATTTGAAATGGAAGAGTCACATCATCGCCACCAAATGAGAAGGTCCAAGTTGATATTGGATTAAGGACTAAAGGTGTTTGTGGAGATTTCTTAGCTGTTGTTAAGATACTTCCTCCTGATGTGTTTAATGACTGACGTAGGTATGTACTTGATCCTCTTGATCCTTGCTGCGTAGCTTGTGCAAGCTTCTCTTTTATCTAAAGGCAAATCAAATTAATTATAATAAAAGATCCCAAAAAGATCCAGTAGATGAAACTCACCTCAGAAACGACAATATCAGGCGTAGTGTTAATATCCAGCCTTGTTGAACAAAGAGCTGGACTCTCGAAATCATTCTTTGAACTTATTTTAGTCTCGACCTGTAAGTTTGAAGGCTTCAAAGGGATTGTGGGCTTCTGGATTTGCTGTGTTTGATGTAAATTTGGCGATTGACAGACTGAAGCGTTATTCAGCATTATAATTAAAGCTTCGTACGGTGTCTTTTGATTCTTTTTAATATTAACTTCGAGCTGTGTAATTAACTTATCTCCGTCAACAATTTGCTGCCTAAAATATTGTTTTGCAATTACAATTAACTTTTCAGTTGTATATTTATTATTGGCATTCTTGAAAACAGCAGCTATCTGATCTGCTGACACTTTTCCATTCCATCTAACTGCTATCTCTTCCAATTTCTTCCTAGCCTTTAGTTCAGACATACTTTTAATTAATTTAATTCACAGATTTTATTTTCAACTCTTTTTGTTTACTATTTTTTTGTTGCAAAACTCAAAAAATCGCCGTTAAAAATTGAAATTCAAATGTTAAAAAGTTGTTAAAATTAATTAATAGAACTACAAGCTAGATGAACCAGCACCAAACGATTTGAATAGCTTTAAATAGCCAGTATAGTCTACAAAATAATCTTTGAGTGACATCCGATGACCATCATTAAATTCTGTGGATTGGCTCAAATATTCTTGAAGGCATTTCTCTTCGACACTCCTGAATTTCTTGTTGGCATATCCAGTTATAGGACGAAATCCTTTTGCTGGCTCAGTATTACATACCATTGCACCTCTAATAACAAGATTTAAATTAAGGACATGCAATTTATCAGCGTTTCTGTATTCTGTTTGGAAAATATCCGATGCTGACATAATTTTAGTAAAGTCTTTGACATCATCAATGGAACTGAATGTCTTCAAGTAATTGGAATGAAGAAGTTCAATGTAATTTCCAGGTTGTGATAAGAAGCAGTCAGCAACTGAATCTGGATTGTGTGTAAGCTTGATTTTCTTTGTATCCGGATCCTCTTCCTTTTTTGCATGTAAAGCACGTCCAACACCATGAAAAATTCCAAGGACTTCATCTCGTCCAACACCTTTATTAATTTTATCAGTCGGTGTTTTCTTTGCTTTTCCAGCTTTCTTGGTTCTTGACTTAGTCTGCATACTTAAATCTATGCTGCCTTGCTGTGACACTAGTTGTAGGTTCATTATGGCATTTCTAATGTCTCCTTGACTTTGTGCTATAATATCGTCGATAATACTTTGAGTTGGTTCAATAAATTTACTGTCTACATGCTCGTGTTCCTTCATTTTGGCACAAATTTGCTTCAGTGCTTTCTTCATCAATGTTGTGGATATTGGATTCATGCTGGATATAAGTAATATGTCAATTAATGTGATTTATATGAAAATGAGTTTCTTGCCTTACTTTATGGTGTCGATTCCTAATTGTCCTCTAATCTTGTCTGGAAATAGATTCATTTCAATATTTAAGGACTTTGAGTTTGTGTCCGTTAGGATGAAGACTAAAGGATTAGTTCCGATGCTTTTATATTTCTTCAGTATCGTCCAAAACTCTTCTTCATTCCCTTTTCTCAAAAAAGTATTTGGAAAATCTTTAACTATTAAAATCCGTTCCTTTTGTGAGAATATTGAGTTATAGCGAGACACTTTGATGAGAAATTCCTGAAACAATTCACTTTGCTTCTTATAATGATATCCACGATCTCCATCTTCCATTAAGAGTTCTCTGTCAACCTCAGCCTTAAATATCCATTCACAGACATTAAAATCAAACTCCTTGCTGATTACTTTCATAGCTGATAACTTTGAAGATCCAGAAGCTCCAATTAGAAGCAAGATCCTGTTACTTTTACCCAATTGTTGACCTAACATGAACCATTTCCTGATATCCTCAATTTTCTTTGGATGGATAATAAGATCTTCAGTGGTTTTTGGTTCCAGAAACTGCATCCAATTAATGTAATCACTGTTTTTTACCTTTTTGTCTTTTGGAACTTCATCATTCTTTGTTATTGTTAATTTACTCTTTGTTCTGATCTAAAGAATGAGGCAACTTTAAGTTATTATGATACTTTTTGTACTTATATATCAGCTGCTGTATAAAATTGAAGCTGTTACTTACTTTTGACATGTTAAGATTTAATTTTAATAATTTTAACAAAATCCAACGGCCTAGAATTAAAACTTCAAAACAAACTCAACTTTTCCAGTCTTTTTTAATTCTAGGGGAGCATCAACCATGCATTAACGGTTATTTGAAATTCAAAAATAAGAGTAAACACAGAAAAATCAAATAAAATTAAATAATTATTAAATTATGTGATTTAAGACCTTAAAAATGATAATTGTGAATAGTGACTAGCTAAAGATATGAATCTTCAATCGCTATTTCAAGATTTCAACATAAGGTAAGGAGTTAAAAAGTGATTAAAAGAGAAAATTTGAATTTTCCCATTTTTCTTACTCTTATTTACATATACTTTTTACATAAGCTTAATTGCAATTTTCCAATACTTGCTAGACTGTGCTTAACATATCCAAATTGTATCTCATTTCAGCAAATTCGTCGTTTACACATCGTTATTGAGTTTCTTAATTCTATTTTCTTTACGTTTGGATGAATTTATCACCATTAAATATGTTTACGTCTTTATGCCGTTGTGGATCTGGAAGACGCTAGTGATTTTGGGAAGTTTCATCGGAACCATAGTATTTCTCAAGAATCCACAATATAGACATGAAAATGACTCATATATACAGTTTAAATCGATGTTAATTAGTTTATCATTACATCTTATCCTGCTTATGTTTGAATTCCTTCTATGTGATCGTCTCTCAAATAATGGGAAGCAGAATCTATGGATATTAGTATTTATACCGTTGATTGTGTCATCAATAATCAGTGTATTCTTCTGTATTTGGGCTATAAAGCAACAGAATGATAGAAGCTTTGAATTGGAATTATTTCTATCAGTAAATGCACTTCAGTTTGTATTCATTCCATTAAAACTGGATGGATTTATTTCATGGAGTTGGGAGATTGTTTTTGTTCCTATTTGGATCTTACTGTGTCTATCTCTTGTGATGATGCTCTACAGCTTAATATTTTGTAGTATTTTAATACGAACACCGGAAATGAACTTAACACAGCGACAAAATGCAATCAACTCTGCAATTTCTAATATTCTCGTTCTTCCTATATTAGTTTTCCAAATTTTACTTGCTGATAAGCTCGATAATGATAACGGATTGCCTTATACGTTAATTTCAATACCACTAATGGTAACGCTATTTGCACTTGTTTTGCTATCATTTTGTAGTAAAGGATCGTCGTACAATAAGTTCTGGTTTGGAATGAGGAACAATATGTTCCTAAATATGCTCGGAGAGTACGGGAATATTAGCATAACATACAGCCGTAATCAACAAGAAACTGGAAATCAAGCACTCAGTCCAGATAGTCAGCAGATCGAGGAGAAGAATCACAAGAAGAATGTACCGATTATTCCACATTTTTCGATTGAGACGCCTGATTAATAAAGTTAGGATTTCAGACACGACTTTAAGATTTAAGCATCATAAGATATAAAAGAAAATAATTATTACCTTTAGATTTTAATGAAAATCGAAAAACATAAAATTGAATATTTTTGTATTCTGAAAGAGATGATATCGATAGAATGTATAAAACAGAGGAACAAAAAATGAGAAGATGAGGAAAAATTAATAAAAACTGTCAAAAGTGAAATTGTTTGTTTATGACGGCTTAATTATTATTTTCAGCAGTGTCTAAAATCTGTACTCAAAATCAATTTAACGTTGGAAATCCCACAAAATCTGACATGTTAATTAAACTATAAGCCTGCACTCCACAAAAATCAATAATCATTTTTTAATTGACATTATTCACAAAAGCACAGTCGTATAAAAATTAAATGTTCTAATAGGAAGCTCTGGATGACTGTATTTTTCAATATAGCTACTATTTAAAACTGGTTTAATAAATAAAAATGTTGTTATATTTACTTCACATTTGGTCCAATTAGCACATCCATTAGAAACGTCATTTATTTGCAAACCACACATTTCGTCATTCCTTGAATTCTTTATGCGTTTCTTAGGATGATTTTAAGACATTTTTTAAATATTATTAATGATGGCTCGATTGAATTAATTGCCAAATTCTTAATTAAACTAGTGTATCGGGTAGAAACCCAATGCGGATATATTCACACCGTACCATGAAAAGTCTTATGGATAGACCAAGATTTGCTCAGCATAAGTTTGAAGGGTGGTCGTAAAGTAAGGCCGAGACCCATATTGACAAAAGTTATACCTAATTCATGTTATAATTATGTCAGCTACAAAAACACTTAGTTTGAATTTTGTCACCCTGAATTATGTCGCTATTTTGTCAAGTGTTTTAAGATAAAAAATTTGTTTTTTGGTTTCCACAGTGAAGAGTATGAACAAAATTCAGATGGGGTAGTCGACATTTTAGATTTCGATTTTTTTTTTAATAATGCATTACAAAAAGTAATATTGGTATGTGATTTATGTCAGAATTATGTCAATTCAAATAAAACATCCAAAAAATTTTTTTGACCAAAGTACACCATAGAAAATCAATTTTCAATTTTGGACTAGGGGCGACCCTAGTCAAAATCAATTTTGTCACTTTTTCTTCGAGGGTTTATCCAAATGGATTGAAACTTTGCATTAATATTTTAATGCTTAAAACAAATACAAATAAAACATCTTAAATTTTTTTGAGCAAAGAATCAAGGAGGAAATACATTTTCAATTTTGGACTAGGGGCGACCCTAGTCAAAATCAATTTTGTCACTTTTTTCTTCGAGGGTTTATCCAAATGGATTAAAACTTTGCATAAATATTCTAGTGCTTAAAACAAATACAAATAAAACATTCAAAAATTTTTTTGAGCAAAGAACCAAGTAGGAAATACATTTTCAATTTTGGACTAGGGGCGACCCTAGTCAAAATCAATTTTGTCACTTTTTTCTTCGAGGGTTTATCCAAATGGATTGAAACTATGCATAAATATTCTAGTGCTTAAAACAAATACAAATAAAACATCCAAAAAATTTTTTGAGCACAGAACGAACTAAGAAATACATTTTCAATTTTTGACTAGGGGCGACCCTAGTCAAAATCAATTTTGTCACTTTTTTCTTCGAGGGTTTATACAAATAGATTGAAACTTTGCATAAATATTCTAGTGCTTAAAACAAATACAAATAAAACATCCAAAAATTTTTTTGAGCAAAGAACCAAGTAGGAAATACATTTTCAATTTTGGACTAGGGGCGACCCTAGTCAAAATCATTTTTGTCACTTTTTTCTTCAAGGGTTTATCCAAATGGATTAAAACTTTGCATAAATATTCTAATCCTTAAAACAAATACAAATAAAACATTCTAAATTTTTTTGAGCAAAGAACGAAGTAGGAAATACATTTTCAATTTTGGACATGGGGCGACCCTAGTCAAAATCAATTTTGTCACTTTTTTCTTCGAGGGTTTATCCAAATGGATTGAAACTTTGCATTAATATTTAAATGCTTAAAACAAATACAAATAAAACATCCAAAAATTATTTTGAGCAAAGAACCAAGTAGGAAATACATTTTCAATTTTGGACTAGGGGCGACCCTAGTCAAAATCAATTTTGTCACTTTTTTCTTCGAGGGTTTATCCAAATAGATTGAAACTTTGCATAAATATTCTAGTGCTTAAAACAAATACAAATAAAACATTCAAAAATTTTTTTGAGCAAAGAACCAAGTAGGAAATACATTTTCAATTTTGGACTAGGGGCGACCCTAGTCAAAATCAATTTTGTCACTTTTTTCTTCGAGGGTTTATCCAAATGGATTAAAACTTTGCATAAATATTCTAGTGCTTAAAACAAATACAAATAAAACATCCTAAAATTGTTTTGAGCAAAGAACCAAGTAGGAAATACATTTTCAATTTTGGATTAGGGGCGACCCTAGTCAAAATCAATTTTCTCACTTTTTTCTTCGAGGGTTTATACGAATAGATTGAAACCTTGCATAAATATTCTAGTGCTTAAAACAAATACAAATAAAACATCCAAAAATTTTTTTGAGCAAAGAACGAAGTAGGAAATACATTTTCAATTTTGGACATGGGGCGACCCTAGTCAAAATCAATTTTGTCACTTTTTTCTTCGAGGGTTTATCCAAATAGATTGAAACTTTGCATAAATATTCTAGTGCTTAAAACAAATACAAATAAAACATCCAAAAATTGTTTTGAGCAAAGAACCAAGTAGGAAATACATTTTCAATTTTGGATTAGGGGCGACCCTAGTCAAAATCAATTTTCTCACTTTGTTCTTCAAGGGTTTATACAAATAGATTGAAACCTTGCATAAATATTTTAGTGCTTAAAACAAATACAAATAAAACATCCAAAAATTTTTTTGAGCAAAGACCGAAGTAGGAAATACATTTTCAATTTTGGACATGGGGCGACCCTAGTCAAAATCAATTTTGTCACTTTTTTCTTCGAGGGTATATCCAAATGGATTGAAACCTTGCATAAATATTCTAGTACTTAAAACAAATACAAATAAAACATCCAAAAATTTTTTTGAGCAAAGAACGAAGTAGGAAATACATTTTCAATTTTGGACATGGGGCGACCCTAGTCAAAATCAATTTTGTCACTTTTTTCTTCGAGGGTATATCCAAATGGATTGAAACCTTGCATAAATATTCTAGTGCTTAAAACAAATACAAATAAAACATCCAAAAATTTTTTTGAGCAAAGAACGAAGTAGGAAATACATTTTCAATTTTGGACATGGGGCGACCCTAGTCAAAATCAATTTTGTCACTTTTTTCTTCGAGGGTATATCCAAATGGATTGAAACCTTGCATAAATATTCTAGTCCTTAAAAAAAATACAAATAAAACATCCAAAAATTGTTTTGAGCAAAGAACCAAGTAGGAAATACATTTTCAATTTTGGACTAGGGGCGACCCTAGTCAAAATCAATTTTGTCACTTTTTTCTTCGAGGGTATATCCAAATGGATTGAAACCTTGCATAAATATTCTAGTGCTCAAAACAAATACAAATAAAACATCCAAAAATTTTTTTGAGCAAAGAACGAAGTAGGAAATACATTTTCAATTTTGGACATGGGGCGACCCTAGTCAAAATCAATTTTGTCACTTTTTTCTTCGAGGGTATATCCAAATGGATTGAAACCTTGCATAAATATTCTAGTGCTTAAAAAAAATACAAATAAAACATCCTAAAATTGTTTTGAGCAAAGAACCAAGTAGGAAATACATTTTCAATTTTGGACTAGGGGCGACCCTAGTCAAAATCAATTTTGTCACTTTTTTCTTCGAGGGTATATCCAAATGGATTGAAACCTTGCATAAATATTCTAGTGCTTAAAACAAATACAAATAAAACATCCAAAAATTTTTTTGAGCAAAGAACGAAGTAGGAAATACATTTTCAATTTTGGACATGGGGCGACCCTAGTCAAAATCAATTTTGTCACTTTTTTCTTCGAGGGTTTATCCAAATAGATTGAAACTTTGCATAAATATTCTAGTGCTTAAAACAAATACAAATAAAACATCCAAAAATTGTTTTGAGCAAAGAACCAAGTAGGAAATACATTTTCAATTTTGGATTAGGGGCGACCCTAGTCAAAATCAATTTTCTCACTTTTTTCTTCAAGGGTTTATACAAATAGATTGTAACCTTGCATAAATATTTTAGTGCTTAAAACAAATACAAATAAAACATCCAAAAATTTTTTTGAGCAAAGAACGAAGTAGGAAATACATTTTCAATTTTGGACATGGGGCGACCCTAGTCAAAATCAATTTTGTCACTTTTTTCTTCGAGGGTATATCCAAATGGATTGAAACTTTGCATAAATATTCTAGTGCTTAACACAAATACAAATAAAACATCCAAAAAATTTTTTGAGCAAAGAACGAACTAGGAAATACATTTTAAATTTTTTGACTAGGGGCGACCCTAGTCAAAATCAATCTTGTCACTTTTTTCTTCGAGGGTTTATCCAAATGGATTAAAATTTTGCACCATAAAACATCTTAAAATTTTTTTGAGCAAAGAACCAAGTAGGAAATATATTTTCAATTTTGGACTAGGGGCGACCCTAGTCAAAATCAATTTTGTCACTTTTTTTTCGAGGGTTTATCCAAATGGATTAAAACTTTGCACCATTAAACATCTTAAAATTTTTTTGAGCAAAGAACCAAGTAGGAAATACATTTTCAATTTTGGGCTAGGGGCGACCCTATTCAAAATCTATTTTGTCACTTTTTTTTCGAGGGTTTATCCAAATGGATTGAAACTTTGCATAAATATTCTAGTGCTTAAAACAAATACAAATAAAACATTCAAAAATTTTTTTGAGCAAAGAACGAAGTAGGAAATACATTTTCAATTTTGGACTAGGGGCGACCCTAGTCAAAATCAATTTTGTCACTTTTTTCTTCGAGGGTTTATCCAAATGGATTAAAACTTTGCACCATTAAACATCTTAAAATTTTTTTGAGCAAAGAACCAAGTAGGAAATACATTTTCAATTTTGGGCTAGGGGCGACCCTATTCAAAATCTATTTTGTCACTTTTTTTTCGAGGGTTTATCCAAATGGATTTAAACTTTGCATAAATATTCTAGTGCTTAAAACAAATACAAATAA